CTGGTTTCTAAGTAAAACAAATTGATATATAAACAAGTTTACAAATAAAGGACAAATGTTCATTAATAAGAAGTATTCAGTGGAAAAATCCACTCATATCACTTACAAAAAGGTTTATGTGATTTGCAGTGACAGCGTACCGTAACAACAACAAAGGAGTCCTGCAACAGATGGTTTCACCCCCCCCCCATAGAGCCCTAATCCCAACATCATAGTTATTCCGGGATAACATGACACACAGGGGACATTTTGACTGTAAAAAACCCCCCAAAGAAGCAGATTAATGAAACAGTCTATCGTCAATGAACAAGTGGGAAAAAGGGGATTGTGAGCTCTGTCAAAGGATCAACTAACTATTGATTTGTTGTAGTTCATTGTTCAAATGTTGGCATTTCTATGAACTTAAGTGGGAGCTCACTCCACCTAGAACTTCTTTTTGTAGGTGAAATCTTAAACAGTAGTGTAACGAGAACACCATGTTGGTGGTGACACAAGTGTTTCTCATGCTTGATGCAATTTGTTTATGTCTCAAGCATTGCTCAGACATACTGTTCAGATTCCTTAACCGTTTGTGCATTATGTCCAAGTATTACTCGCCTTTTATATGTGTGTATGAGTGTGTAAGGTGGGGGATATGAGGGTTGAGGCCTCAGTGGGAGACACTGATGGGACAGAAGCTCACACTGAGATGACACATGGCCCTCCCACACTATTTCCACACAATACACACACAAACCACGTGCACGTGCATTTCTGTTGGCACACACAAGCAGAGCATGCACAGCTCATGCACTTGTCACTGGCTGGAACTTATCCCAGTCTCTTACATGTCGTAGGTATGTGTTTGTACTATTTTTGCCAATTACTCTCGCACTGACAACATGCATTACCCACAGCTGTTAAAAATCACATGGCCTCTGCACATAAGGGTGGGTACAGATAAGGGATGTTTGTATAAGATAGTAATATATTTAAAATGTGAATGATGTTTCCATGCCACTGAACACCCACTCTCCCAAAAGAGCTCAAAAATGACTTTTTAAGACTGCAGTTTAGTCTTTTGACCATTAGAAATAAAGTCATGGGTCAAGATTGAGTATAGTATAATTGTAATTAGACAAATCCCACACTAGGATTACTTATTTAAAATGCTTTAAGGCTAATGTGCCATGTGAGCTACTGAGAACCAGTGCAGGTAGAGGTAGCAACACCTCCCCTGCTTAAATACATGGAAGATTTGTTTGGTGTCGTATAGGATCACAGAAGCCATGAATCTGATGACCTCGGGCTTTCTTATTGGCACGAACAGAGCTTTACAGTTTTGTGGTTAGAGAAAGTCTATTATCACACGTTCCTTTGACTCTGGCTTTTATTTTAAACTTAAATTTTTAGTGACTTTCGAAGACAGGCATATAAACATTACCTGAACTGTATTTGTAGTAATTTCAAGACCTTTTTTTCCAGTTATTTCCACTCTTAAAAGGTTTAGCAAATTATCAGATTAGACAGCTTGCAATAAAAAGCTGAAAATAACGGAAAAACAAAATGAATCATCAGTGAAAAATTGTTTATCAAATGACCCTTGGACCTGGATTATATTGTCCATATAAAGTCGGTCACATAAGTAAGGTGTTCCTGTATATGTGTGAGATGTAGATTTAGCAAAACACAAACATTTCAGACTTCACCTGCAGCATTGAAAGTGGGTCATCTATATGACCTGAGCTTTACTGCATCTGTTAAAGTCATCTGATATAGCACGCAGGTGCCTGATGTGTGTGCTTTGTAGAATTAGCCTGCTTCTGTCTTCGTCTTTACATCCAGGTAGAGCCACTTCTTTGGATACAAAATAGTTTGGTCAGTATGCAGACAAAGTAAAGGAGAGTTGCTGTTAAAACAAGGTGTAATGGGGCTAGGTAAGGATACTGTGTGCAGATGTGTTTGTGTGGGCGGGAGATGCAAAGGTTTTGGAAGGGTTGAAAATCAATCGCTAGGAGACCCACTTTTCGTCCCCGTTGCTGCGGCAATGCCGAGATTCCATCAATGAGCAAGAGCTGCGTTTCCCTGACAACGCTTATGAATGAGAGCAGGTCGGTAACCGTGGAGACTCGGCGAATAGAGGAATTGCCGGTTGCCATGACAATGCCATGAACAAGGAGAGAGAAAGCAAAGTGAAGATAGCTGGTGACCTCTGAGATCTTCATCAAGGCCCTCAGTCGTCATCATCAGTTTGATGCACTTCATCACAAGCAGAAAGTTACATGTCTCAGATTGTTTTTATTCAACATTGTGGAAAACTAATTCTGGACACTAGCTGTCCCAAATTCCCAAATATGCTGGAGCTAGTGGAAAGAAGAAAAAAATTAATCAGTGTATCCGCAACAAAGTATCATATTTTGGGAGTAAATAAACACCAATAGTGGATAGATATTACACTTGACCTAAAATACCCTTGACTACAATTCAATTGACATAACAATGCCTACATGGCCACCTGATAACTAAAGAGGCAGAGGAAGAGAATAGTTTTTAAAAACTTTTCTGTGGTCTGATCAAGAAATCATCCAATCTAGCACATCAAAGCCACCGTTTCTGCTATTTTGAAAGTATCCTGAACCTAATGGTTCATCTCAACGTAACCGCTTTGTAATATATCAAAGAAAAGAATTCAGGCATAACTAAGACAGGTTTACACACTGTAAACACAACACATCACAGTTTCAATTGTGTTTGTGGTGCTTTCCAGGTTGATTGTAGGGTGTTTCCCAACAGAGAGGGCCTCTGTCATCATCGTCTAAACACTGTCTCCCATTGCAGACAAAGCTCTCCCTTATATTCTCTCTAGGGTGTCCTTTCCTGCTTCTGTCTCTCTCAAGAGTTTCACAAGTGTATCTGCCTTAACAGCTGGATCTCACACTTGTGACACACTGGACCATCACTCTTTTCAATCTGTTCTCTCTTTCTCACACTTTGTGTCTCTTAAGAGATGTTGCGTCTCCTTCCTCCCAGTCTGTATTTCATATGGAACTTCCCAGTGGGGTCTAAATAAGACCCACCTCCCAATGACAGCTTGTTTTTGTATGATCTGTGTCATTAGAAAGAATACGTATCAGAAGTATGCTTGGCGTCTACTGTATTTTGAAGCAGAGCTTGAACAGATATGACGGGGGATTTGAATTTGCTATTAAAATTAAAAAAATCTCCTATTGGTGTTAAAGTGGTTCAACTTTTCATTAGTCGAAACATCAACACTTTTCCTCAAAATGTCGGCATCCTATTTGTTTTGTATTCATGGTCAACTGTGATTGCGTCCATTTTCCCCACTCCACTAGTGACAAGAAAGAAAGGACTCTAAAAATGGTGTTTTATCAACAAACTTTTGTCACACTAAACACTTTCCTACAAGCTGATTTAGGACTTAAACAATAAATTCAACATCGTTATATATTTTCAATTTCCTTCCATATTACAAGTCCCCATTTCACTGTTCAATCATCTGCATTGGACGGAGGCTGAGCATTAAAAGTAAGGTATGGATAAGGAATTATATTGTAGTTCTTGGTTAGGTCTATAAGTAATAAAACACATGGTTGACAGCTACAAACAATCAAAATGGTTATGGAACATTTTAATATTTATTCATCGGAATTGGAATGAGTCACACCATTGTTCTCATTTATATAGTTGGTTAGTCATGATTCGCTCGCATTTTTACAATCCTTTTTCATACATTTGGTCAACACTATCTCTTCAGTCATGGTACTTCAACAGAGTGGAAAAAATTCAAACAAATAGCATCAGAACAAAAAATACCATACATAACCAAGGCCACATTAATCAGACTTAATTTCTTATGATATTTGTCCTTTGCCTCATTTATTTTCCTTTTTTTTTCTTCATATATTTGGTTGTTCTTCTCTAGTCATTCCTTTTAACTCTCTCACATTCCTTTTTTTATCCCGTTCATTTTTCTCTTTTCTCATCAACCAGTTCTCTGTGCGCCTCCTTTTTACCCCAATTATTCCGCACAAATGGCAGCATACTCACTGCTCCATCTACTGGCCACAGTTATACACTATGAGCGGGTTCAGCTGTTGCCAGGGGTGACTGCAAAGTGGAGCTTCGCTCTCTTGCTCAGCGGAACATAGACACTCTGCTTTCTCTCTAAACTGAGAGGTACAGGAGAAAACATGTGCATTAAGATAAACCAAAAAAAAGGCCCAACACCAGAGCCGAACAAGTGAATCGCAGTGGGCTATGCAGGAGAGGGACACTTTGGATTCTCGACTCCCAATGTCAAAAGATAATTATTGCTCATTTATTTAATTAGTTTACTAATTCTAACAGGACCATATCTGAGTGTCTCATGCATTGTTGCTAAAATGCTGACAGTTAATTTGTTGTGCAGGATACTGAATGAAAAAGACAAATAATGACAGCAGAGCATTACATGACAACATACACTGTTTACATTGGAGCTCTGTTGTGGAGAAGTATAGAACTGAAGCAAAACATGAAAAACAGTAATGAAGTGTTAAAAATAAATTTAAAAATTCATAGTTATGTAAGAAAACATGTCAGCAGTGGTTTAATTATTTGATGTCATTCACACAGAAAACTTGTCAGACTCAGGCAGTTTGCTTATTCTGCTGAGGCCCAGTCTTTTTAGATGTGCACCGTGGCCTTTAGCTTTGGCAGTTAAAAAGCCATTGAGGGAATGAGTGGCTTGGCTGCCAGTTCTGTGTCTCTTAATAAATGACCTCTTATCGGAATTAGCAACCAACCTGATGAGACATGCTGCAGCCATTTGCTTGAGAAGGCTGGAACAAAAAGTGCAATAGATGGAAGGAGATTATGATTTTATTTATGTGACTGTCAATTTTAACTACTTCCTTTGTTCTGGAAACAAATGTAAAGATTGTTATGAAGCTTCGGACAAAAGTTCAGAAAAAAAAAACATGTATGTGTATTAATTTTATAGTGAGTAAAATGGTAATTGATTAACTTGTAAACTGGCAAGTAATACATGGCCCTTGTTTTTATATTTCTTTGCAGTATTTTGTCATCTGTGGGCTCTCAGCTTGATCTGAGGACACTTCGAGCCGTGAGGGTGCTGCGACCACTAAAATTGGTGTCTGGTATTCCTAGTAAGTGTTGTTTTGATAAGTAATTTGACTAGATAATTGTCACTGTATGATTACACTATGTGTGGTATAAAACGCAGCTAAACTAAAGGAAAGTATATCTAAGAGCAATAAAGTTGATAACATTTGTAAGATAAAGCTATTCAAGTCGTTAAAGTAGATTAAGAAATCAGTGGGACTAACACACAACTCTGTTAAACAGGCTAATTATCCTAGCAATGTCAGTTATTACCTTGGTGAGTTTTCCAATCATTTACATCTGCAGAAATGTAAAACGAGTAGAATTGGCAGTTACATATGCTATCTTCGATTTTGAAAATCTACCTTGTTTCGAAGCAGGTACTGTTTTTGTTGATCATGATCCAACGAACTGATACATCCCAGTGAGACGTTTACCAGCTGTTAATTAATCATTTCACCTGAAGTTACCACATAAGACAATAATCCTGCTTCATATTGAAGGTTTCAGAGTGACTTAGAATCTAGTATGCACAGACATTTTCAGTCTTTGCTGCTATTACTTAAAACATAAACATTTTATTCTTTACATAAACTCTCTGTATGTTCCACTGTTCTTCTGTAAATGTTTTGCACTGTCATCCAGGTCTGCAGGTCGTACTCAAGTCTATTATGAAGGCAATGATCCCCCTACTGCAGATTGGCTTGCTGCTTTTTGTAGCTATCCTCATGTTCGCCATCATCGGCCTGGAGTTCTACATGGGAAAATTCCACAGGACCTGTTATGATGACATTACAAGTAAGAGAAAAATAAACTAATGCACGGTTGTTTGTTTATCATAGTAAGGTACATGTTGGTTATCAAGATGTACCTTACTATGATAAATGCAAACATTGTTTAAATTATACACTGTAAGACAGAATAAAAAAGGTAAGATCTTTAACTATAGATGGATGGTGCTGGTGTGGATTTGATTAATGGTGTCCCTATCCCTATTTGATGTGCTAAAATGGGATGAGGACTTTTTAATCAGCACATTGTGTCACATTTGAAAAAAAAAAAAAAACTGCTGACAGATTGTCATAGGGCCCCACTGTTTTGTGGTGCTTTTTCGCTCACGCTGTTACACTGTCACATGATCACGAGTTCCCAGGACACTTGACTACAAGAGAGCTAATTTAATCTAAAGGATCACAAGCTGCTTTATATAGCAAGACCAAGGAACAAAGGGGCAAGTCGAATGCAATATACCAAGTCAATATGTCCTCTATGTAGAGAGCCTGCTGCTTTGTTAATGTCTCAAGCCTCTCAAAGAGATAACACGGATACAGCACTGCTAACTACTAAGCTTTTTCTTTGTGATCAAAACATACATGACATCTTAAAGATTTTCTTCTCTTTCTGCCTCTTTCTTTCTCTGATCAGGGGAACTTGTTGATGAAACGCCATGTGGTGACCGTGAGCCATCACGTCTGTGTCCGAACGGCACAACATGTAGAGACGGCTGGCTTGGACCAAACTATGGGATCACCCAGTTTGACAATATCCTGTTTGCTGTGCTCACGGTCTTCCAGTGCATCACCATGGAAGGATGGACAGACATGCTTTACTTTGTACGTATCTCCCAACAGCATAGTTAAAAGCTTTTCAGTTATTTGGGAAGCAAAGTTTATGTTTTCTCTCAGTTGCATGATCAGAGACACAATTTTGGCAGTGCTCAGTTGTTACCACATTCACCCCTACAGCATTGCTGCAAAGTATCTTTAAAACAAATAAAAGACAGGAAAGCTATTTCCTCTTTTTTACATCAGCTTTTATTTTCAGATTCTCCCACACCAATCAAATAATGCAGATATTTTTGCATGACCATGCACAGTCAGTGCAAATGTTAGTCAGTGTGTTGTGTCGGCTCCACCAGTTGACCCCTTCCACTGATCGATGGCCTTTGGGGCTACTGAGAGCTTCTTCAGAATATACTGAGTGGATCAGGCTAGCCTGACTGGCCCATTATGTACATCTGTATCAGGTTTCATTTCTTTTACACAACATGTGACATATGCATTCAGCATGTGACATATGACAGGAAGTATAGTGGCCTGTAAGACTGTTAATATAGTGATTGTATGGTTAAAGATTCACTTTAAAGAATACGTATTTCTCAAATCTTCGGATTTTGATCTATCCTGAACTGTGACCCTGACCATGGTGAGAATCTTTGTGTTCTGCAACAGCTGGTGAAACCTGGTTTGTATGAAGAATAAAGACGCGGTATAGAGCCTTAGCATCAATTTCTTCTACAAATGTGTTTATTCTCTTGTCTTTATCAGAGTTGGAGTGCTGGACCTCTGTCACTTATTGCCTGGTTTATTCAGGCTGGCTGCATTCTTTGATAGTACATTCAGTTACAATCAGTTCAGCAAGGTTCCTCATAACATTTATATTACCAAAGTACTACTACTTTTTCAAGCGTAATTTGTAGATATTATTTGTTTTACTCAGCTCAGGCTCTTCATTAACTTTATCAAATCTGAACTGCTCCCAGATAATTAGTTTTTAGTGTCATATGTTTTTTCAGTTCCTCTGATTGTTTGGTTGGACTTTTCACACATCGTAACATAATAAGATGTAACTGCCGAACTTAATTATTCTGCAGAGGCTGTAAGATAACAATTAATAATCACACACTATAACGTTGTGTAGGCTGCAAATTTTGATAATGACCTGTCACTGGCTCAAATGCAGAGTCATCCATTTCTGCTTAGTCGTACATCTGAGACTGAGAAATCTCCACATCTACAGGCTGTGCTATTTTGTATGCCCAAAAAAAAAAAATCTTAGCTCTACAAGTTCAGAAGAAGGAAAACTAAGCATGGCCTGAAAAGTGATAAAATGATCTCCAAGTTTTTCTTTTTTAAAATGATCACTCATCATTGCTATATTTACAAATTCACACCAACATCGACTTTTTTTCTCTAAAGATAAAAGCTAAATATATTCCCCAATTAGATTACATTCTGCTGAAATTCAGTGTTATATTATGTTTTTGCACATGTTGTATTTAACACATAGAGTTTTTCTTGTCTTTTTCACTATATTCAGGATTTAATAGATTTAGATTTTATCAAAATCACATTCATATTATTTTCCCAAAAAGTATCTCTCTTTCTCTCTGTCATCTGGTATACCGTATCTGTTCTTCTCATCTGTTCTTCTTTTGCCTTCGGAGTTGCTCTCTTTCTCCATCTCCCCCCTCACATCCATTCTCTATTCCGGTCTGTTTTGCGCTATATTTAACATCTTTTCTGATGGATGAAGGCTGACTTCCGCACTCACACAAGCGGTCAGGAGGAAACCAATGAAAGTTTAATAGAGAATTGGCTACTTTTCATTGTACCATGCAAGAATAAACCCATGCACATAAAACTCCAGCTAAGGCAAGTGATCAGCTGATAGATCCATCAAACTTGATCTCAGTAACCAGATTGTCAGTTTGGGTTTTTTGGAGGGACATGGTGTCAAAGTGTTTTGTTGCTGTTTGAGATGCCCACCAGACACCATTTGTAAAACATATCTGCAAAAGGAACACAGGCTCCAATGTATCTCTGCAAAAAGAGTGTGCCTTCATAAAATAATTTTTTACACTAGAGTCGAGTCCCACATCAGCCTTTCATTGATGAGACATGACTTTTTTACTTTTAAAGAGATCTCTTCTGATATTGTCAAGAGTTTTTTTCCTTTTTTCTTTAATGTGGAGCAGTGTGCAACATGTAACAGTTGTGCTGTTCATGCTCACGACTGCTGCTGCTTCCATTTGGATGGGTTCATTCTCCTTTTCCATTAAATAGGATACACCTACAAATATATCAATTGTGTGTGAATAAAGCATTACAATTTTGTATGATGTGAATCATCTTGAAAATAGCTTCTGCTGATATTCAGCAGAGTGACTTTCAGCACTTTTGTGACTTTAACGTCATTTGGAAAATATTCCAACAGTCATTATCATGTTCCCGCTTTGCAAAGAATCACTATTTAGGACAGACTGTGACATAGAATCTGTTGTGGAAATTACGTCAGTCCCTTACGATTAGATGAATGTGCATGAAGTCAAACTGAACATTCATACAAGCACCACATAATGGAGTGTTCTTGGAGCTAACATTGAAAGAAAAAGAAAAGAGTCAGTCTATAGTGGAGAAAAAATCTCTAGCAAACATTAGAATTCATTTTTATTTATTGTATGTAGTCATAAATTCTTCAGTGTAACAAAGTAAAACAAAAAAGTAGCGCAAAAAACATTAAATGAAAGTATAGATGACATGATCAGTAATAAAACCTTTGGTCTTTGCAGAGTAATGATGTGGAGGGCAGCGCCTGGAACTGGATGTACTACATTCCCCTCATCATCATTGGCTCCTTCTTCATGCTCAACCTGGTGTTGGGTGTACTCTCAGGGTACTGTACTCATTCTATCTGCAAAAATGATTTATATATATATATATTTATATATGTATGTGTATATATATATATATAAAGTGGTACAAAAGACAACTTATAACAAATATTCCCACAGTGAATTTGCCAAAGAGAGAGAGCGAGTAGAAAACAGGAGCGAGTTCCTAAAGCTGAGGCGACAGCAGCAGATTGAGAGAGAGCTCAATGGATACCTGGAGTGGATCTGCAAAGCCGGTCAGTGCACATATTCAGCGTGACAGACTCTCTGCTCAGGTTGCTTCATGTACACAGGCCTCTAACATTTTCACTTATTCGTTCATACAGAGGAAGTTATTCTGGCTGAGGAAGATGGTACTGGGAACTTTGATGGTATGTCAACATCTTCCCTTATTATGGGAAGAGAGTGCATGTTTTGTATCTGGTTATTTAAATGCCGCATTATCTTTAGGAAGACTTGCAAGACTGGGAGGAGTTTAAGACTTGCAGAGAAAGTTGTAATTCTTACTTTTTCTCTCTCTTACAAGGGTCAAGGCGAAGGCCGACCATTAAAACCAGAAATAATAAGACAGAGCTGCTGAACCAGGAAGAAGGAGAAGACAACATGGGAGATGCAGTGGGTAAGAAAGATGATTTATACCTGGGGATAAAAATGCAATGGCTTTTTTTAATAAGTAATGAGCACCCCAAGCCAGAATTCAGAAATTAACAACTGTTCCATGAGTTCCATGATGTTTTGCAAGTTAAGGAGGTATTGGTCCTCAGCAACTCAAAAAAGGGCCTTGTGAACTGCTTCCATCATGTGATACTTTTTGGACATTTCCCATGGCAGATGTTGTGGAAATTCCCAGCTGAAAAGAAGCCTTGAGGAAATGTGAAGGGCCAGACTGTGAACCCTGCAGTCCAGTTCCTCATAATTGTCAGAAGATGGATGCTGAATTGTAGACTGTCACGTGGCTCTGATCTCAGTTGGGACCTCTCCGTGTGAAGTTTGGGATCTGCCATACTAACACATAGTGCATGTTGTATCTCCCATCATCTGGTTAGGTTTTGCACGCTCCAGTATTAAGAGTGGTAAGGACGGCACCAATTACAGTAAGAACGAACGACGACTACGATTCTTCATACGGAAGATTGTGAAGACGCAGGCCTTCTATTGGACGGTGCTCTGCCTGGTGGGCCTTAACACCATTTGTGTGGCTGCAGTGCATTACGACCAGCCTGAGCTGCTCTCTGACTTTCTCTGTGAGAACACACACATATACACACACAGAGATGTATAGATATATTTATATTTTTTTATATATATGTATATATAATGTTATTATAGGGACTGCCTTTCTGAGTTGCTCTTTTTATGCCCTATCATTTTACTGTTTTACTTTTTACAACTATTTCAATAGTTGGTTCATGTCTCCTCAACTGTTTTTTATTGTTGTTTTTTTAATCAAATCATTTTTCAGCTTTTTATCACCCTGATCACAACTTTTCTCACTCTTGAAGCTGCCACCAAATTCAAGTAAATCTATTATTTTGCATGAAAAAACACCATTCCTCGCTTTCAGCCGTTTATATATTTTATGTTCTGCTCTTAATGAAATACATATTTATGAGATCAGAAAAACCTTCAGTACCTTTAAATTAAAAGTTAAATTTGTTTTATTTTGGGAGTTTTTAGCCGACGAAAAAAGCATTTCCCCAGTATTTGCTGTTATATTCTATTAGCACATCCAATTTTTTAAAATTCAGAATCTCAAGTTTGTTCGAAAAGCCTTTGCAATAATCTATACATCTTAGCGTTAATGACACTACATTGCATGAGCTAGATTCAAGTCTACTCAGATGATTTACTCTTTAGTTAATTTGTATATGCACACTTGTTAGGAACATGAACAGACTCAAACATCAGACACGCACTCAATAACACAACCCACAGTAGAACCATTCGTTATTTCCGGGCCAGTGTCCAGTGTCGTTTGCATATGAAGCTGTAGTCTTTATAGAGTCTATTCATCAGCAGACTGTCATACTCTCCTGGGCTCACACCACCATTGACTGTCATTCATCTTTATCTTCATCGCTCTCAAACACTGTCCTCTGTTGATGACTACCACCCACCCATCAGCTCCTACATATATGCCTAAACTTACACAAATACACATTGATACACCAATGTGTATGTCTGCTTCTAATTCTTCACCACTGCTTTCTCTTTCTCACTTAAACATCTTTCTTTTTTCTTTATTATTGTTTTCATAGCACCAATACTAATTTTTTAGTCCTCCCTCCTTCTCTTACTACTCTGTTTCTCCTTTCTCACTCCTGCAGTCTATGCAGAGTTTATCTTCCTCGGTTTGTTCATGTCCGAGATGCTGATCAAGATGTATGGTCTGGGCACTCAGCCCTACTTCCACTCCTCATTCAATTGCTTCGACTGCGTGGTGAGTGCACTCACACACAGACACACACACACACACGCACACAACTGTTATTTAAGTAAGTTTAGATTGATGACAACTAGGAATTAAACATTCATCTCTAAAACTATTCAACAAATTTCTGTAATATTTTTTCTCATGTTTTCCAGCAGCATTTTACACTGAACTGTCACACATGCTGTGTATGATTAGGGACACTAAAGAGTAATGCATGGAAACAGTAAGACAGTTGTGAAATCAATTGATATATTTATTATACATCAAATCTCATCATCCAGGTTAATGATTTAATTTTTTTTACTGAATAAAGTTTATAGATTTGATTCACTCAGACAGATTTAATCTAAATAATTCCAATAATCCTGTATTAAACCCATGAATGATTTTGGAAGAGAGTAAAGAATAACATTCACAACATAATTGTACGTTTATATTAAATCTTTATGGTGAAATATAAAACAATGGAACATTTGTCCAAAGAAGCAAAATTAGACCTATTTCATTTTTCTTAAACCTGCTAATTCAGCTAAGCATTTAGTTATTTATGATCTGGTGAATGAATTAATTATAAGCGTGAAAATAAACTTTTTTAACTTCATTTGTCAATACCTTTGACAGAAATACCAGTTGAGACTAAAGCTCCTAAAATCAATCGCTGCTTAGAGTATTAGACATGACACACAGAGACAGTGTATTGACTGCATGAGTGTGTTTGTTTGCAGGTAATTGTCGGCAGTATCTTCGAAGTTGTTTGGGCAACCATAAAACCTGGCACGTCTTTCGGCATTAGTGTATTACGAGCTCTAAGATTGCTTCGCATCTTCAAAGTGACAAAGTAGGTCTCTTTCTTTCTTTCTTTCTTTCTTTCTTTCTTTCTTTCTTTCTTTCCTTCTTTCTTTGCACTGCCACTGGCTTATTCCTGCAAATGTGTGATGATTGGACTTCAGGTGTCAATTTCCTTCAGAATATTGGTGTTAATCAGTTTGTTTCATTGTTCCCATCTTTAAATTGAATACCTGGTCTGTCTAATTCAGGAACCTTGGAAGCTTGAACAGAAATGACCAAACTTGGAACAATGTTAAATCTATGTAGGTTAAAGGAAGGTCTAGTCTCAAGTTTACTGCCCCAGAAACTGTGAAGTTTATGTACTCAAGGGAGAGCTCAGATGCAGGACACTAAGATATATTACCCTAAGTCCCAAATGCTGCATGATTTCTTACAAAGGTCAAACAACATGAAGCACTCACAAACAAGTGACAGACGAAGGAACAAATCAGTGGATACGAAATACAAGGAACATTATATGTATTATATGTATACCTTCAAAATTGAATTGATAATTTTTTGCTCTCAGTTGTCTGAGGGCTAATGGTGGTAGCCCACAGTAGCTACCAATACCTGCCAGGGACAAAGGAGCCTGTAGGTATGACAGCATCAAAAAGGAAATCATCTCTCTGGATTTTTGGGCTGATAATAAGATAGTTTGGTTATCTCATTATTTGGTTATTTGGTTATCTTATTATTTTTTGATGAACCACAAGGGTATTCCCACTGAGTGGTACAGAGTTATGTTTTGGCCAGGGTAAAGTATCTGTTGAGAATATGTGGATTAGTTCCCAAACCACAAATTCAGAAAATCAGTATTGCTTCAAAAAGATATCCTGTCGACAATTTTTTTCCTACTTAAGTGGGTTCACACAGTAAAAATAAAATATCTTGAGAATTTACAAAGAAAAGCTGTGTTTGAACTTCAGTTTGCCTTTGTTACTCTCCTGTTTCCATTTCTTCTTTCTCTTTTCAAAACCTGTGCTGTACTCATTCACTTCTCTGCCTTTGTCATATTTTCCAAATATACCTTAATTACTGTTTACAAACTTCTTTTCCTCCACAATTCTATGTCTTCCTCTTGTTCAAATCCTTTCTGTCCTCAGGTATTGGGCTCCTCTTCGAAACCTGGTGGTTTCTCTACTTAACTCCATGAAGTCCATCGTCAGTTTGCTGTTCCTCCTCTTTCTCTTCATAGTAGTCTTTGCCTTGTTGGGGATGCAACTGTTTGGAGGACAGTCAGTATCAGCACTAACTAAAAAACAAGCTGAATTTGCATGGTTAATATAGTACATTTATGTTGTTCTATTCACATACTGATGTGATACTGTGTTTTCTGTATCTCAGATTCAACTTTGAAGGTGGAACTCCACCCACAAATTTTGATACATTTGCAGCAGCAATCATGACAGTGTTTCAGGTAAGAATTGTATATGTTTACATGTAAAGACATAGGTATGATTAGACTCATGCAATGAAAAATGTGCTCTACTAAATCGAAGAATAGGAAGTTAAAGAGGTAAGTATTTCTGATACCACCATGGCACTGTCTTACAAAGACACATGTATTGTTTTTGTAGATATTTATCATATTATTATGCATGTTCTCCTGCATTACACCTGCATTAAAGTAGCTAAAATAAATTATTCTCCTATTTTTTCATCTCTTTCATTGTAGATCCTGACAGGAGAGGACTGGAACATGGTGATGTATGATGGTATTGAGTCCCAGGGAGGTGTGAATGACAAAGGGATGATCTTCTCCATCTTCTTCATCGTCCTTACACTATTTGGCAACTGTATCCTGCCTTCACTCTTACATGCATATACACACACATGCACAATATGTTGTGATGTGAATATGGTCTCCTTTGGTTGACCCTGCTTCATCTTTCTTTTCCACTACACTTCTCTGTCTATGAAGTGTCATTGCCTACCTCTCTTTGCATCAGTGCTTTCCTTAACCTCTGCCAACCCAGACACTTTGCTGAATGTCTTCTTGGCCATTGCTGTTGACAATCTGGCCAACGCTCAGGAGCTTACCAAGGTATGGGATCACAAGAGAAGAAAGATTTCCCCTTTTTAGTGACAAACATCCTCTTCATTTTTATATTAGTGCATTTAAACTCTGTGTTTTTTCATGTATGTATATGTATATGCTGTATGAATCTGAGCATTAACATTTTAACAAAGAGAAAATGACTCTTTGTCCTATAGGATGAAGAAGAGCAGGAGGAGGCAGCCAATCAGAAAACAGCTCTACAAAAGGCTAAAGAGGTGGCAGAGGTCAGCCCGCTCTCTGCTGCCAACCTGTCTATTGCAGCGTGAGTACGCTCGTGTAGTGAGACCAGTAGCTCACACAAAAACTTGCATTGATTTAAACTCACTCCACACATTTGTAAACACCCCTTCAATGTCATGTCTTGACAAACATAGATGTACATAAAATTGCGGGGAAAAAGTCAATTATACTAGTCCTTTTGACAAAACTCCATAAACATGCACAAAAAAGCCTTCTATGTACATTGTTTTTTACTCAAAGCTGTCTTTCCCAACATTTGTGATTGGCAGGCATTCACATACACACAGTGACACACCGCTACCTTCTCCCTATTCTCATTCTCTAAAACATGATTAGACAATTGTTGGCACAGAGAAAATAACAGATTCAAGGCTTTCTGAAGTGAAGAAGAGCAAGAGGCGGACAGTCTTTAAAATCTGCTCTTGGCAGCAGAAATACTGACAATACGACACATCAAAAGGGAGCTCAAAGAAACCCGCACTCTTTAGAAGTCACAAAATTGTTCAGTCTCTGTGAATAGTGGAGTATTTTGGCCGCAGGATCGGGAGATTAGATGTGGGTGGATTGTTGCTACAGTGACACACTAATTTATAAGCCATTTACAATCATTTTGAGTAACGGGTGTGAATAATGTCTTGTAATGGAAATACAAGACATTTTGAAACTTTGGGTAACAAACTTTTGGTGGACAATTGATTTGATGAACTGAGATTTAACACAATGACTTTACTTGTTGCCATATGTTGAAATGAGATTCAATGAAACTACCTTCTGATGTAGTTTCCTCAGTGGCAATATGTTATCACGTTTTGAAAAATCAGTGTTTTCCCAATGGCTTGTCAAATGACTTTAGGAATTTGTTACTAAATTGCTCATATAGATTGAAGAATTTTCATTTTTTTCATTTTTAAGGCCTTTATTCACATTTATGCCATTTCATTTTTTTAGCATAACATTTGCTTAACTTTCATACTTACACTGTTCCTACTTTTGTTATACTATCTCAAATTCTTACTTCTTACTATCTCCACTTCTAGTTCCTTTTATATCCCTTATTGATCATAATATCCCTCTTTTCCTTAATGAATATGTTCCCTTAATGTCTACTTTCTCGCCTGCTCATATTTACATTTATCCGATTCTGCAGTTTTACAATTCCTTATGTAATTATTTCCTCAACCCTTCTCACCTTCTAATTCCCCTCACAACCTTTCTATCAACACCTCTGTTAACAGTAAGGAGCAGCAGAAGAACCACACGAAGGGCAATAAGTCTGTGTGGGAGCAGAGAACGAGTGAGATCCGCCGCCAAAACCTCATGACTAGCCGAGAAGCACTCTACAATGAGCTGGAACAGGATGACTGGAAGGTGGGAGGGGAGGGCGAGGAGGTGAGGAAACTCCTGAACAAATCCACATTGATGAAGAATTCCAGATGAAACAGTGATGAAACAGATTTAGACGCTAAATCTGCCGTGTTTATGCAGTATGTGACATGCAGAGAAAACACAAGGGCCTAACCTGCTTTTCAAACACTTTCAAATTCTGGGTCATGCTGTACTCCACAGATATTTTAATTCCAGGGTGTGATATCCCTTTAAGCCTTGAAACAGAATTACCATTGCACTGCTTTACACTGTGTGCATAGGAGCAATGCATTATTAAAGTGGAGTATGCTGAGAAATCCAGAGCTGTTTTTACAGAAGGCAGCCGACTCAAAACTAGAGCAGGAAAAATAAAATCTTGTAAAAGATGATCAGGAGTTGACTGGATATAGTTCAGCATGTTCGCTGCTGCAGCTGACGTAGGATTTTATGGCTCTGGAAAAAACTAACAGCTAACATTTCAAACTGTTAATGTGGAGCCATAAATGGTGGACTGTTTGCCGAACTGTGGCTTGGGGAGGGGAACTGGCTGGGAGCTTGAGCAAATGCAGTGTTATATAGTATTATAGGATAGAAGTCACTGGAATTTTGAGGATTAATTTAATTGAATCAAGACTAAAACTGATTTGGGTTACTTTGATTTGAACAGATAGCGTAATTTCATTTCACATGAATTATTATTGACTCCTGAAAAACCAAAACATAAAAAAAATTCAAAGATGCGTCATTGTTAATGTTCTGTCTCAATGTCGGCTGAGATAAGCAGGATTCCCCCTGCTACCCTGAATTGGAATAATCAACTAGACACAACACAAGCATGAATGTTAATGAGGACACTTTCATCATTGCTGCATTTTTGTCTCAGAAAAGAAGTTCCTTTTTGTGATTTTTATTTGTTTCCACAAATTATCTTCCAGAAGTACCAAAAACAATTCCAAGACTAGAAGTGTTTTTGCTTTTGCTGCATTCACAAAGGCAACCAACTCTTTTGTTGGCTGTTCATATTTTTTTATGATGTTGTGCTCTTCACAGTGATCTGAGACTTGACAGAACTTTCAGATCCAATGCAGACAAAAAAATAAAGAATAGCTGTATTTGACTGATGTCAAGATTATGGCATCTAACACCATTGCTGTGGTATAGATGATGCATTCTGATGCCCTTAAGTTATGATAGCGTGAGATATCACATGTAGACCTCAATAAGTCAAATCCATACTTCTTCTTGTATATGTTCAGTGTGGATCTCTGAAGATAAGCAAATATGATACAACAAATAAATGCAGTTATGATCAGACCTGGAGATTAATGTATTGCATATCCCAAGCAAGGTTAATACCTGTAGATAAGGATCTGTTCTTTTATACTTTTTTTCCAAAACACTGCACGCATTAATAAAAAACCTTTTAAAATGTATCTGACAACCTATATATCATAACTGCTATCTTCTTACCTTCATTTAGGTGTCCTACCCTCGGAAAGGACGAACTGACATGAAAACCCACTTGGACAGGCCATTGGTTGTGAACCCACAGGACAATCGCAACAACAATACCAACAAGACCCAACCTGGTGAGATGCCTCTTGACCAGCACTATCGACAGCAAGACATTGACCACTGCCGACGTGCTGTGCACTACTATCACCTCCACCACCACCATCACCAAAAAGTCACTGGGCCAGAAAGTGGAGAAACATGCAAGCAAACAAAAACCTTCATGGAGCACAGCCTCAGCTGTACGTCTCTGGGCAATGTAGAGGCAAGTGTGGAGGGCCAGCAGGGTGAGGAGAGGCACAGCCATCGGAGCCATCGGAACCATCGGGGCCATCGGCACAGAAACAGAGAAGGGAGAGAGACTCACAGTATATCCCCCCACCATAGTGAGGCTGGAGAGGGGAACAACGAGCACAGGAGCTCCAGGCAGCACCGCAGGGCAGCCAGGGAAGGGGAAGAGGGCAGAAAGCATCGATCTAGGAGGACAGAGGGAGAGGGCGAGAAAGGCGAGGAAGATGAGGGGAGGAAGGCAAGACGGCATTGCCACAGCAACCAAGAAAGGAGCAGGGGCCATCGTAGCAGAAGGTAAGCGATGAATGGGTCTACTTTTTACATGGATAACTCTCAGATTATACCCTGTATTAGTATTCTCCTCTGTCCTGTATTCTTTCTTTCTCTCGTCACCTAATCTGTATTTATTTGTTAATTCATTAATTTATTTATTTATTCACCATATCTTTATTCTATTTTTTGTTCCCTCAGGGAGCACCACAGTATGGGCCCTAGCCTCTCCACCACACGACCTATACAGCAGTATAATGAGGATCTGGACAACTTCCGCAACAACAGCAAGCTGGCCAATGCCCACGAGCACCCTTATGACCTCCCTCCTGACCATCCCGACCATGTCAATAACCTACTGAATTGTCATGATGCTGACACCCATACCCTGCTTCATAGTATGGACAGCCTAATCCTGACTAGCATGGCTAAACCTGACTACACAACCATAGATATGCCGCCTGTCTACCCATACCCCTCGACCAATGCAATTTTGCAAGGTAAGCATAAGGGGTGTAGCTGTGTGAAAAGTGCCTTGGCTATGTATAGATTTGGTTAGAAGGGGTATGTTACTTCTCATTTTATAGTGTCTCATTTAAATGTACAGTATATAAAAATGAAGTAATCCTGAGTGCTATTGTGCGCTAGTATTTTACAGATGTATTCATTTCTTTTGTTAGAAGCAATGTTAGTAGACATGACATGTGTTTTCTGTGGTGGGGCTGACCTCTTTCTGTCTCTCTGTTACTTTCTTCTTTGTTTCGCTCAGTCAACAAGAATGCAAACACCGACCAGAAGAAGAGTGAGGAGAAAAAAGAAGAGGAGGATGAGGGCGGGGATGAGGATGGCCCCAAACCCATGCCTCCTTTCAGCTCCTGCTTCATATTATCTACCACCAACCCGTAAGTACATGAGCCGTGTGTGCAAAATCTTGCTCAAATAGAAATGTTCCTGATTATGTATATTTTTCTGCCAAGACAAAGAAAAATGTAAATAAATGGTTTTGTGTGCTTTTTTTTTTTTACGTCAACATGCAAATGTGTCTGTGCGTTCCCTGCAGGTTTCGGAGGTGCTGTCACTACATCCTGACGCTGAAGTATTTTGAGTTCACCATCCTGTCTGTCATCGCTATGAGCAGCATCGCCCTCGCTGCAGAGGATCCTGTCAAGCCTGACTCACCACAAAACAATGTGAGACATAACAGTGTTTTCGTGTGGGCCTTTTTCTTAACACCTATGTGTGTGTGCACCTGCATCACTTTGTTGCTGAAGTGTTTTTTTGAGAATATAAAGATGAGCAAGATCTCCCACAGTCACTAAATTTTACCAGGGCCAGACACAGACTCAAAATTAAGCTTTAGTTTTGATACAGATATGAGAGTGTCATGGTTGTTGAGAACTGAAGGTGTTAAAATGTCCCCCCTAATAATGGTAGTAGTGATAATAATGACAATTTATTTTTTATGTCATATCATCAACACTGAAAATGCTCCATCTATCATCCGTGCAGTAAATATTAGTAAGAACCTGTTTTATTTATTGTTATATATCAAAGTGTGCATTTACTCTCACAAACAACTTTTATGTGTGTGGAAAATACTTTTATTTAGTGTTATTTTTCTTTACTTGGCACCAAAAAGGCAGCATTTTTCAGTATTCTTGTCACTTGCTGGATGATTTAGAAATGCACATGTTTAATTCCTGCTCTAAAACTTTGCAAAAACTGAGGTTTTTGCATTTGATGTGATCTTATCACGTAAGTCAGTCAATTTACCTACTGTTTTAAACTAAATTTAAATACAATCAGGCAGCACAACACATGACTCAACACATCCGTCCACAGATCATACGGACTGATTAGAAGTTTTGTCAGTTATGCCAAAATAACAACAACCATGCACAAAACAGATGATGAGCAGAATGGGTAGCAATACATTTAAAGGAAAACTGGTGAATCTTCCTGAAGTTAATGTTAACAACACATCATGAAAAGAGAATCTTAAAACCAGATTGAGATTTAGAAGTAGGATCAGGCTCTGATGGTTCTTTTTCCCTTTCTGTTTCTGATTTTTCTTGTCTTTTTCTATCAGATTAATCTCTCTGCTTCTATCCCTCAGTGTTTATAGTAGGATCATTTTACCTCATGGTGTTGTGTTGCTCTCCAGGTGCTGCGTTACTTTGACTACGTTTTCACAGGCGTCTTCACATTTGAAATGTTGATCAAGGTAACAAAGTATCGCTGTGCAAGTGTGTACGTGAATGTTTGTAGTTACTACATTTCGTTGTCTTTGTTTTTACTCAGTTTTGCTGAAAATTGTGTCTGTGTCTGTTTTGTGCCTGTAATCGCAGGGTGGAAAGCTTACGTCTGCTTCTACTTAACTTCTGTGTGTCTAGATCTTCTATTTCAGTGTATACCTGAGCAACACTGGTCAGCCACAACTTTAAGACCCCATGTCTGTTTGATTACATGAATGACTGACTCTGCAAAAATGTGTAAATTCTCAGCGAGCATCGAAGTATTATTCACATGAATGCCCGGATGCAGGTTTTCACGGCTAAACATTGACCATTACTCAGTGTAACCTGTCAGTGGTTCTAATGTTATGGCTGATCAGTTGCGTACTTATGCATCGGCAGCTTGTGTGATCTGTACTGACACGCTCCATATTTTGCAGATGGTGGTGCTCGGCTTGATTCTACACGAGGGATCCTATTTCCGCGATTTGTGGAACATTCTGGACTTTATAGTGGTTAGTGGTGCTCTGGTGGCCTTCGCCTTCACGTAAGTCCCCCCTACCCTCCTCTTCATCACCTTCACCACCCACATACAGATATTTCACCATCCACAGAAAGACCTTCAATGCTCAGCCTTGTATGCAATATGCTCAGCAAAGCTGACCCTTTTCCTCTTGTCTCAGCCTCCTCTCCGAAATGATCAACTCCTTTTCCTTCATATACTTTTTTCTTACTCACAATTTTCACTTTTTACCTCCTCTATATCTATACATTTTTCCTATCTTCTCATTTGTTTATCTCTTTCTGTCCTTACACTATCACCTTTTCTCATTTATTTCTGTTTTGTTCGTAACTGTTGTTTTTAAACCCTTTTTTCCTTGATGTGATCATTATCTATTTTCTATTGATCGGTCTGTAATATGTAATCTCTTCATGTAAATCCCTGTTCCTCATTAGTCACCATCGCATTCAAATCATATCAGCAGGTCTTTCTTCTTTCTTTACAATTCATTGCCATCTTCATCACCGCCAATCCTTAAATGCATCCCTGATATTCCTCCTCTGAATCTCCCCATGTCTTTCTTACACTCTAAAACAAAAAAGGGGCCTCATGCTATTGGCTTTTTCTTAATTATGCTTTGAGGACACTGAGGTCATCCTGGGGTTCTCGATCAAAGTAATTATTTCAACAATGGTTTACTCTATTGAATATATATTCTCTTGTGAGGAACCCTAAAGTCAACAGATTTTAGAGTGTAAAAAAAACTGAAATATTCATGGAAACATTTATGCGCACCATAATTCCCCTTCAACTGTCTGATAAACTAATCAACTAAACCACCTGCTCCTTACCAACATTTTTCCCTTCCGATTTCCCTTGCTTCTGTTTCCTTTTATCCACTTATTTTCCCAATCGTGCGTCCCTGATATTTCCACCAACCAGGCCGTGAGTCATCCCTTCCTGTTTTCTTGCATCTAAACCCATGACTTAGATCGTTCAAATCCTTGCTTACCAACACACTTCCCCGATCCTGTACAGTTTTAGTCTTACTTATGCCTTCTTCTCTCATTAGACTCCTTACTCCCACCTCTCATATGAACCCCTCCTTCTCTGTGCCCCTGTTTTCCCAGTTGCACACCCTTCTTATTCCTGACATACAGCAAAAACAAAAAACAGATAGAACAGTATGAAAAAATTTGTGTTCAGTGAAGCACTGCACATCCCACTCCTTTGTCCCATTAAGTGGATGTTGAACAGTACGCAACCAGAAGCAAGAGAGACACCACATGATACATAGATTCATGCAGTTGTGATAAGACCAAAATTGAATTATAAAATAAATGAAAGTCTTTAGATTATTTTAATCTGGATGAGGGTTTTGTCAAGGGGAAGAACTTCAAGAACTGATGGAAAATTGCTGCAGATTTATGGCAGTACAAATGTATAGTTCTTCATACAAAAATAAAAAGCCCTCTCAGTAACATAGTTCCGGCTCAAAGAAGTACTAAAAACGTACAATTGTAGAACTGCTGATATCTTGTTGTCATTTCATGCTTTGAATGTATTAAGGTGTCCATTTGGCAATATAATTTATGCATGTTAAAAACTGTAGAACATTTCATTTAATAGTTGACACAATTTAAAAGCAGGACATTAAAAAAACAGATACGCATAGGTACCCATAGTATTTAGAATCTGGTGTTCATCGTGGTAGAATATGTAACTATGAAGCTTCTTTCCTAGTAGGTAACATCAATAGGTACATTAATAGGTTAGATGGAGCTTTTCTATTCAAAATTGTACAGAGGTGATCTTCCTGTTTTAGGAGAGATCATTCTGCGTTGTTGCTTTTAATACGTGCTGTATGTTAGGAACAGGTTCTATGTGCTCCTTTGCCATTATTCTCACCGTCCAAAATCGTTATCATTTTTCAGTATAATCCCCACGGTTTTTAAATGACTTGTTCTGGTTCAAAGTTCCATCAAACACACCTTTCAACCTCACAAAGAGCCATTAAATCCAACATCCTGCCTTCTACCCATCCACACCTCCACCTCCTCATTCTGTCCCACCCTCCTTGCTGGAGGTTTCCAGTCGAACAGTTCGTGTGGGTGAGGGCGCCCCAGACACCTTTAACCCTTTAAGTGCCCAGGCTTCCCATACGTCAAAAGGGAGGAAAACCAAAAGGACTTCCCCACCCCACCCCACCCGCCCCTTTCCCTGCACACACTCAAAGACACACACACACACGCTCATCAGCTGTTCTGACCATGTAAACGAACCTGGAAACACAGGTATTTAACTCTCTTTCCTTTGCACGACCTGGAAAAGTACACAGGAGGGAAAGAGGCAGACATACTGGGGCAGAGTGTGGTGTGTGGGTTGATCTGCTATTATCTACGATCGGTGCATTTGACAGGAACTAGCTGCGTTAAAAGGGAGAAAGTGTAGCTTGTATGTGCATCCTCCTCAGCACTTAGCATGTCCAGTGAATTTTTCACTTGATGGCTGCATGATCTTGAGCGAACCTACAATGCATCAGATAAAAGCGGTCATATTTATGTTAATGATGTTAACACAGTCTCCAGTTTATCGCACAAGCACAAGTTGAATGTGATGACTAAGAAAACACTAAAGGGAATCTGCATGAAAACTTTATGACAATATATGAGTGATTTAAAGGGATGCAGATCTGTTGAGGTGGTATGACCTCAGGTGTAATTTCGACAGTGGTTTTGTGGCTCTTCTCATATGAGACGGACATTTAAATTATTTGCAATATCATCAAACTGTTGTTTTTTTATATGAAAACATTTCAGAAAACATTTTTTAATAAAAACAGTGAGGTGGAAAAGTGCAGTGAGCAGACCACACATGATTCACCCATGATTTGATAGCCTTTACAGTTCAACTACAACATTATGTGTCATGGAGAAACAGAAGGATTTAATGTTCTGTCAAAAGCTTATTCTGCAGTAGAACTTGTCTTGTAAGATACAGTTCCCGAATCCATCAAAGATTGTCTTACAACTAGACAGTTGTAAGGTTTTTAACATACTCAATAAAGAATCAGGTCAAGTAAACCAAAAAATGATGGTGCTGTGTGGAGGGTGCACATTCAAGTGTTGAACATATATAAAGATTTTTTTTTTGTTTTTTGCACGCCTACACATACAAGTACATTAATAAACACAGAATTTCTTGATTTTTAAATCAAATGTATGAAAGCAGCACCCGTAACCAGTTTCTGTAAAAATAAAATGATGACTTTGACCAGGTAACGATCTTGAACACATAACTATACAAGGTGAATATTCAGTTGAGGTGAAAGTTTAATAGTTATTAGAAGTAGCGTGATGGAACTTCTATCCATCCCCAAAGCCATCTGGCTGATAGATTTGTTACAGCAGCTGGAATATCACTCCACTCCAGCACCCTCCTCAGTATGGCTTGCTGCTGAAAAGGTAATTCCTCCTCCCCTCCTTCACTGGCCCTTTTCCGTTCCACTCTCAAATTCTTAATAGCTCGCTCCCTTCATCTCTTGTCCTTTCACTTCTTTTGTCACCCTTGCCGTCCCTTTTGAAATGATACCATTGCTACTCCCTGTCCCCTATTCTCTGCCTCTTCTTCCCAGCTTTTCTCCCTCCCCACAGTTTTCTTCCTTTGCCTCTCTGCTCCCATCATTTGCCGTAGGGCTGGGCTACCGTACAGTTTTGCTTAGAGGGACCAATGCTTCACACACTTGTGAAATTTCACTTTGACGCATGACATTATTTAAAACTAGATACATCACAGAAGCATTGTACGGAGGATTTTTGGCATGGTAACAGTACAATAGCTTCATATTTGTGTGGGTTATAAACACAACAAATAAGCTTCTGGCACTCTTCATTATCCAAACAAAAGCTCCGTGTTAAAGTGTTGTGACTTAAAACTGCATGCAGTGACAGTACTCTGTGAGAATGCATTTTCCTTCTGCTGAGGGTGTGTGTATAAGTAAATACACACAAATTCCGGTTTCTTGAGAGTCCATTCATGATGGCTGTCCAGAGTGTATGCCTGTGCGCTCGCAATATTTCAAGAAAACCTGGAACCGGCCACTTGCAATGATATGATGCTTTTTTCCCCCCTTATGCAGAGATGTGCTTCCAAGATATTATAAAATCACACCAAAAAATTGCAGGTCTAATGAGAAAAATGTGTGCTGTAAGCTTGGTTTAATTGAGCGTTAATAGACCACACTCATAGAGATAAGAAAAGGATAAGAATCAGTGTAAACACTTGCAGCTATAGTTTCTTCTTCCAACTGCCAAGGTTGTTCTTCATGGAGTTGGCCAGATGGAGCCAGAATAGAGTCAGTCAGAATTTAGCATCTTAGTATGGGCTACAATAAAATCATTGTTGTGATTGATCTCAGTTGACAAACTGAGACTAAAGTGTTTTGGATAAAAAAGAAGTACATATTTAAATGCTCGAATTTGTTTCGGCAGAATGAGGACAATTGTAGTGTAGTGTAGGTATAACCCATGCCAATGTAACAATGGAGCCTTCAGCATTGTGACCTTTTCTTCTGACATTTTGTGCAGTAACAATCCCAGATAAAATGGTTATTAAATGCCTATTTTTGAATATAGTAAAAACACATGTCTACAGGCCAGGTAAAAAAGGACATTTTTAGGCAGTGGCCACTAACCATGGCTCCAGTTTAGTTTCTGTTTAATTAAAGTCTTGAGGTTTATGCACATAGCATAGAGTAGAGTTTTGTGGGGACTTGGTTTGAGATGAGGATAAGGAGAGGTTTATAAATCTGGCCAATAGGTGTACTTATTTCTGCCTTTGTTCAGTTAAATCATGATAGAGAGTGCTATGTATCTGTATGCAGCTAAAATAACCTAAGTCAATAGAAACAAAAGCATCTTAATTACTAATATTAAGTGTTATAATGTTAGATTATGTTAAGTCTTATGATGCTACCAAGAAAAAAATGTGAGATCTACCATAAAAAGTACAAATCTAACTGGTATGCCAATGTATGAAGTGACGTATGCATGCATGTGTTTGAGTGGGCAGAAAGGGTGTATGTATTACCGAGTGGGCAGGGTGTATTTTTAATCAGGTATGCCCGTCCAGCTGTCCTTCCTTCTTTGTCTGTCTCTCATGTCGATGTATTTTTTCCTGTTTCTACCAAACCCCCCTCTCTCTTGTCTTGTGTCTGTCTTTGTCCGTCTCTATCTGTGTGAGTCTCTGTGTCTGTGTTTCTTTCCGTGTGTCCCCTCCCACCTCACCCCCTTCCCTTTCCTCCCCATCCTCTGTCTTTTTTTTTCTGTTGCTGTCACTGACTTTCGCTGTCTCCATCTTCGGTGAAACTCGACAGGAGCAGCACCCGGTAAAGTTTCTCCTCTGTCACTCTGTTCCCTGCTCTCCGTTTCCGGATCAAGTTGGCTTCTCTCTCTTTCTTTCTTTGTTAATCTAGTCGTTCATATGCACCCCTGCCATATCCTTACCACTTGTATACTTCTGTGAGGCTACACACATGAAACTTAATAAAAAACCTTCAGCAGTTCAGTTTTTTAGATGCAATATATCATTCTAACTAATTTCCAGTTCAAATTTAATTGACACATATATTTTTTTTCCTCGCTCAGCATGTAAGTGGTATCCCATCCATTGCCTGTCTTTAGATAATCAACACTCCTATAACCAAACTTTTGTCCTCCTTGGAGCTTTATGTTCTTATCAATTATCTTGATTAGAAGTTTAAATGCGATAGAAATCCATCCATTTTGAAATTATTAATTTTTGTGCAATGTTTTTTCTGGATATTTGCACACTCTGCTATCACGATAGACAAACAGCTTTTTGATACAAAAGTCCACGACCTTCTCCCCTGTACTTTGTTTTAAACCTTTGATGGCAGCAAAAACTACTACTACTACAATGGGAAGTTATGGCACTACAGGCTAATGATGTTCATTGAGCCTCGTCCTCTATGTGCCTGGCATTTCCTGTTCAGTTTGAACTGAAGATGGCATTTGTAAATATACACTTGCTACTAGTTTAGAACAACTTTCACAACTAGTAATCTTTAATATGCTAGTGTGTGTGCATGTGAAACATTGTGTGTGTGTATGTGGAGGGATGCTGCCACCCTTTTAACACCTATGGCCTTGCTAGGCTTTACTCTAATACTCTAAAGCTGCGCTAATAGAGAGACCTCAGTCCTACTTAACTTCAAACAAGGAATGCCTATTGATTATCGATTGAGTTTCTCTCCTGCGTCCACATGAAACCCCACCCCCCACCCCCACCCCTCCAACATTCAGACACGTAGAACTGCCAAGGCTACAACTCAATCAGTCAACAGTAAATTGAATTGTCGTACGTTTTCTGTCACAGGAACTGAGTTCATAGTTTAAGAGCGAGTCTTGATGGATGACCTTTCCTCTGCTCAGGCTTGGCAGGCTTCCAGATGCCTCCTGCCTTTTATTTATTTATTTTTGCTTCAAAATGGTCCATCCACTTACGTAAAGATCAAGTAAGCTATTTATTGTGTTGACACCACAGAATTTTTCTAACTGACGTGGGTAGCAGAATTCTGAGGGGAAGAAACGGATATTTATTTTAGAAAGGTTTTGTTTTTATTCTCAAGTGATTTGCTCCAACGGTGTCATGGCTCATGCAAAACTATCGTAGTTTGATCGTGTAAGAACATGTGATGTTATGTTCCGTGAACAAAGCTCCAAAAAGTCTCTCATACCTTCCGTTCCCTGGCCTTGTACCTTTAGATTCACCTGGCAATCCTTAATAAAGACCCATCAAAAATGCGATGACTGAAATCTGAATTTTTATGACAGGAAGCTATGTGAAACCTATACAGAACAGTCCATCCACTGATGATATATTTAAGATTGTACCAAAATAATTCAAGCCATGTACTTGAAGCTCAAGCTTCATGTTTTCACTTCTAAAAGTTCAATTTTTCCCAAAAAACTGAACAACATGTCACTGAAAAAGAAAGAAAGAGGTTTGGCTGGGCACTCTGCCGGGAGATGCCTGTGGTTATGCGGCGATGGAATGTGTGCTGTATGACATTTAAGATCATGATAAAAGATGATGATGCTGATGTCCATGAAACCAAATGATTAGATAACAGCTCATGTTTTCACCCACCACTGGTTTCATGTTTGACTGTTTTCAACGGACTGTAATTGCCTTGTTTGTATATGTTTTTTTAATGAAAATTAGAAGCATCATGTCATGTTTTTTAAGAGAACTTAATAATGAATAAGATCCCCTTGCAGTTGCTCAGTATCTTACTTTCCTTATTCAGCTTCCTGTGATTATTCTGTGACGCTGTCTGTCCAACTTTTTTGACTCCAGGGGGAACAGCAAGAGCAAAGACATCAGTACAATCAAATCCCTCCGCGTGCTGAGGGTGTTGCGTCCACTCAAGACCATTAAACGTCTGCCCAAGTTAAAGGTAATAGCTCAGCTGTGATGTGGGTTCATCAATGCCCCCAAATTATCCCTTTTACTCTTTTAAAAGCGGAAACGGAATTACACTTTGTTGGAAAAGTATCTGGTGAAAACCTTGATTGGGTCAAGCAAGTCTTGGGATTTCATCATGTATTTGATCCCCCAGAAGATGTTGCATCTTAATCAAGTATCAGATTACGATTCTTTCAAGTCACTTAACGTCCAAAATATTTTTTTTATATTCATTTCTGAGTGTAGCCATGAAGCTTTATAATTAATCACAATCTCCTCTGGATAAGTTTTTGTACATCTTTTCCAATGTGTTATAATTGATACAGCCCCGAGCTCCTTTAAGATTTGTGTTGAGTGTTTAACAATGTATGAAAGTGTTAGCTTGCAGTACAATTGCTTATCAACCTTGCAGATAAAGTGTACTCATAAGTTTTTTTTCCCCTTCAGGCCGTTTTTGACTGTGTGGTCAACTCACTGAAGAATGTGTTAAATATCTTGATCGTCTACATGCTCTTCATGTTCATCTTTGCTGTGGTGGCCGTGCAGCTCTTCAAAGGCCGATTTTTCTACTGTACAGACGAATCCAAAGAGTTTGCGCGTGACTGCAGGTTGGTTAAAAAATTCTGTTCACAGTCTTTGCATTTCGGCACACACAGGGCTCGTTTTTACAATAAAAAAAAGAAACTGTATTCTAATACTGTAAATAAGCTCGACTGTCACTAGCAGTGGATCCACTTCACTTTCACTGGATCAACTGAATTTTAGATATGCAGGTGCTGACACCTTGAGGACACAATAGGCCACTTCACTAGAAAGAATTTACAGTGAGAAGTTAATTATGAAGAAACAGCAGACCTAATCCTTCTTAATTCAAATATAAACTAACAGAAATAGATTTTAGTGTGTTAGGGACTTCTATTGCAAGCTCATTTTTAGATGTTTGATACTAATATTTATCTTGTGCTTTAATAGTTTGAATATTTCTGTACACTTACAGTCTATGCATGTTTTTGTTTCCTTGCACAGAGGCGAGTACTTAGTTTATGATAGAGATGAGGTTAAAGCTGAGAAGAGGGAATGGAAGAAGTACGAGTTTCACTATGACAACGTGGCTTGGGCCTTGCTCACCCTTTTCACTGTCTCGACTGGAGAAGGGTGGCCGCAGTGAGTGGATTTTTCATGCACACAGACTCAGAATGTATTGAATTTATTTGTTGAATTTGTTCTGTACATATATATATATATTTAATCGATCTTGCTGAAGAAATGGAGTTTCTTTTCTATTATATACTTTCAACCCAACGGAAGATGTCATAGAATGCATAATGCAATAGTGATACAAGTAAAGCTTGTTAAAGTTTATTTTGATATCATTTAAGTGTTTTTTGTCTCCTTTTTGTTTTGTCCCGCAGGGTGTTAAAGCACTCAGTGGACTCGACATATGAGAATCAGGGCCCGAGCCCAGGTTACAGGATGGAAATGTCCATCTTTTATGTGGTTTACTTCATTGTCTTCCCTTTCTTCTTTGTAAACATCTTTGTGGCTCTCATCATCATCACCTTCCAGGAACAGGGGGATAAGATGATGGAAGACTATAGCTTAGAAAAAAATGAAGTGAGGAGACATTTATTTTCCCCTTCTTTTTGCCTATGCTTTTGAATACTTTTAAACAAATAGTGCTTGTTTGGTTGTATTATGTCTCTCCTCTTTTTCCGGCTTACTTCAGAGAGCTTGTATAGATTTTGCCATAAATGCAAGGCCTCTAACCCGCCACATGCCGAAGAACAAACTGAGCTTCCAGTATCGCATGTGGCATTTTGTGGTGTCACCGCCCTTCGAGTACAGCATCATGGCTCTGATCGCGCTCAACACTATTGTCCTCATGATGAAGGTATGAATCAATCTATTTAATACGGCAATACCAGACAATAATTAAGTGGGTTTTGAAACACAACATAATATATGGTTGTAAAGAATGTAATACCAAATCCTTTCACAAAGAAAACGAGAAATATCTTTAGTTTTTGATGGGGACTATATATATGACTAGAGAAAGGTATTTGTGTGAATTTCTTTTACATTTTACAATTTAATCCAATGAGAACCTCAAATTGATTCAGCTGTACTGCTGCAATGTCCTAAACACCTGTTCTCACTCCTTTTTTTAATCTTTGTTTTGTTCAATTGCAGTTTCATGGTGCATCCGAATCATACGATAATGTCCTCAAATACCTTAATATCGTGTTTACCACCTTCTTCTTCATGGAATCAGTCCTCAAGGTCATTGCTTTTGGCCCTCTGGTAAGATTTTAGGGGGAAAAAAAGTAAACACAGCAAGCACAACACACACACACAAATCTTTGCCTTATCTAGGCTGACCCAATCTTTTAGAGTATCATGGTATTTTTCATTTATAAAGCAGGTTATTTTAGTAGACAGATCTGGAGCATGTTCTTCTTGCCCCTGAGAAAACTTGAGCATACCCTTTCGCACAGCAGTTGCACTGTAAGCCTCCTTTTACACTCACCCTGATTAAAAGAGCGATACTGGTAGATCTGTTTCTCTCACTGCACCCTGGCTCCATCTCTGGAAGGATAGGACTGCCTAACCTCTGTTCTCTTCCTTCTTTCGTGTCTCTTCCAGAATTATTTCAGAGATGCCTGGAACGTTTTTGATTTTGTCTCTGTCATTGGAAGCATTACTGACATACTAGTGACAGAAATCTGGGTAAGTGCCACAGTTTATTTGGGCCCATTGACACCCCTCCTTTAACAATTTCTTTATTAATTTTATATAGAATGTGATACAATATAGAAATTGTTCAACATCCTACTGCCATAGGAGGCAAGGAATCAAAGTTAAGGCAGTTTGGACTCATTTTTAGTTTCAACTAGTTAGCTGACACATACAAAGTCGCTTTATTTACATCCACTTGCAAGGAGGATGAAAGAAATCAATTGCTAAGGAAAAATGGTAGGCCACGTCATGAGGGGTGTGTGCTGACTAGGTGGATCTTACACACACAGTACATTTACAATTCACCAACACTGAGGGCAGCTAACCATGTGAAAGCAGTCAATGAATCTCCACCCTGCCTCACCTCTCATTCTCACTCATGCAAAAACACATTCTTTAAATGCAGTGTATCCATGACAGCCTGGCTTCCGCCAACTGTTCTTTTGTGGTGCAGTTTTTCCAGTGTTTATTGCTGTAGTAGCCAATTTGTTCATTTGTGACACAACCAGAGCTATCTTTGCAGAAACATACGTTATTTTCCAGATGGTAGGTTTAATGTGTTTTCACACAGAAGTTTGAAAGATTCCGTGTGTGCGTCTGAGAACATTTTTATTGAACTATTTTGTTTAATAATAGATATATTTTATTAATGTAATAAAAGTTATGCGTAACGTCTTCAAATGGAATGTTAAAGTGGTTAAGATATGTCACCAGCTGACGGAAATTGCCATCTCTACTGTCTTCATTAGTAAGGTACCAAATGTAGGATACTTACATAAACAATAGGTATATGGCGCCTGTATTAGTTGTTATGCAAATTCAAAGAAATTATGTTACCAATAGAAATACATGTTGTAACTTAAAAAAACCCACACTGCACTGATGTATTACAGTTATTTTTATAGAGAACTCTTGGCTTTCTGTTGGTGGTAGTAATGGCATCGTAGAATTGTTTTCAGTGTCAGTTCTGGACAAAAAATATTTACCTACGGTAATTTGTATTTCTGACACGTTCCACATTAAACATATTATGGGTAATTTGGTTTTAGTGAGCTATAGAGGTTTTTTCTGATCAATGGAACTTGCTGAATTCATTTGAAAGACTGACATGTTTTGCCTTTATATTACTGTAGAGTATCAACAAACTCATGTTTACCGCACTTTAAACAGCAAATGTGTTGTTTGTATGTCTGTATTATACTGTGTTTATGTAATTGAAGTTATGAGCCTGCATATTTGTGGAACTCAGTTACATAATCAGCCTTTCTCTGCTGCCCCCTTCTTACACATTTTTACTGGAAACCAAACAACATTATGGATTTCTAATTCCATTACAAAACCCCTTTTTATAGCATTTTAGGTGTTTCCATCACATTTGAACTTACATTTCTGATAAGGAATGTAAACCACTACATACCTCCATGTTCTCTCACCAGATGTATTTCACAGACGTAGTTTGTCCAACAGTACACAGTGGATTCTGGTCTACTGCCAGTTTAGGTAGTTTGTTGCTTGTTACTGTTACCTTCTTGGCTTCATTCTTATATTATTGGCCTATTCTTCATTTATCAGGTTTGTTGGTTTAGTTATTATCTTAGAATCTTTACAGTTTCTTTTGATTATTGCTAAATCATATTCAAAGTCAAGTAAAACTGATAAGAAACTCCAATAAGAAATTAACAAAGTCAGATTTTTCAGTTTGTAGGTGACATAAAAGCAACACAGTAAGATAACACAGGCTCAATTAATTTAGCATTTTATTACAAACGACATGTAAAATCATTGAGGTTTTTATTTCCTATTTTTTCAGATGTCACTTTAACCCTTGAGTAGATGATTAAGTAGCTTGTGGTTTTGGAATGGAATTGGCATCAAAGGGAGGCTGAGCACATATCATTTTAGGGAAACTGTTGTGTCTGTTGTTGTTTTTCACTGCCTTTCTATTAACACTGATAATGATTCCGTCTTCCTGTTCTATCTCTTTACATGCTTTCTTTAAACCTCACTACTTTGTTGGCGCCCTTCGCCCTCCTACTCCCTCCTCTGATAAAAAAAAAAAAAATCCATCCAATCAAAATGCACTATGAAATCCTTCATCGTGTTTTCCATCTGTGCTGCGCCATGACATGTGGTGGTGGTGCTGTGATGATGATGAAAATGATGGTGATGGTGTGTGTTTCGCCCCATGCCCCTGCCCGATAAAACACACAACCAACCACCACCTCCTCCTCCCCAAATATCTTTAACCCATTCACTATATGCTTAACCAAAATGAAAAAACAATAAAACCTCCTCCCCATTCATCTTTCTACATCTACGCACATGTAGAATCTGGTTGGTTTGTAATTTATTTCTCAAAGCTTCCTGCTGCAACCTCATTGGCCATGTGATCCCCTGATTCATTCCTTAACCCCCTGGTCACTACTCCCTCGTGTCCAGTCTGAATCCCTTTTCCCAATGCATGTGCTTTTTGGATGATGATCTTCTCTTTTACAACAAGGACAGGTTCATTTCTAATGTCTCGAGTGGCGATATAATGGTAGTTTTACTGATAGTCCGGTCAGTAGTTAAATTGGTTTATTTATTTATGTGCGTCTTCATCTCTCAGGGGAGTTTATCATATTTGGATTAATGCAGTCACAGTGCAAGAAAAGGACAGCATTGTTACAGAAAAACTTGATTCAAGAATGTAAACTTATTATGATGACAGTTTTCTTGCTTCATGACAGAATTCATGAATTGCTATAGTTTGTATTATAATGACAATACTGACTATAAAGGCTAACCATGCCATTATTCCTGTTAATGCTTTAGGCCAGGATTTGTTTGACAATAGTGAAAGATCGACATTGATGGGAAATGTCTCGTTTAACTTTGGGCCTCCTTGTGCCTCGACATTGAGGCAAATGCATTCTTGCCACTTAAATAGTTGTCTGAGAGTCATTCGCTTAACAATATTATTCATGTAGAAATATTTGCGTCATGGAAACTTTAAGTGTTGAAATGACCCTAAACCATTTACCAAGTTCATATTTATTTTCCTTAAGGAATTTAAAAAAAATCTACTCTTTTAGTGCAATTAAATAGTGAATGCTTCCATTTCTACAATGCTCAGCTCACCCTTTCCCCCACTGGTCTGCATGTGGGCCAGTATACTGCCATGCCATACCTGCACAGAAGCTGAATGCCAGTCCCCCCCCCCCCCCCCGTTCGTCTCCGTGTCCTCTTCTCTCATGCTATTCTTACGGCCTTGTCTGTCAACCACAAAATGTCAGGGCCTGACCAGGGAGTTTGGCTGCTCTATATTATTCACTGCGTGACACTGCAGAAGCTAAATTTGGAACTGACAAGGCTAATAACTGGGAGTACAGCCCTCAAAGTGATTAATATAGAAAAATTGAGAGTGCCATATTCAGTGTCACTGGCAAGCTCAAGCCATACTCTTCATGCTGTGAGAGAGTGTGTATGCGTGTGTGTGATTTCTAACTGTGTGTACGTGTGGTTGATAGGCAAAGTCTCTTGTGTTCCATCTTGTGTGTGGCCTGCTTGACCCCCCCCTAGCAATCAGTGCATTTGGTTATCTTAAAAAAAAAACATTTTAATGTACCAGATTGGATGATGACCTTTAAAAATTTTTATTATGATTTTCTGTTTGTGCGTCTATCTTCTTTATTTTCTTGGTTGCTTAAGTCATTTAAATTTTCCTCAATCTTTCTCTCATTTGTGATTATAAATACAATGCGTGTTTATGTTTGCGATCAGTTTATTTGTGTTGAAATTTCTCTCTTTCACCTTTGATTGATTCTTTTTCTTGTTTAGTTTTTTTTGTTTTATTTTTGTTTGTTTTTTTCAGTACTATAAAAGAAGGCTGGGGACAAATTCTGTGTTTAGAAATCTGATTACATTTTCCATTCGCCCCATAGGATAATATCATCAACTTGAGCTTCCTGAGGCTGTTCCGAGCTGCACGCCTCATAAAGCTTTTGAGACAGGGAGAGACCATCCGCATCCTACTGTGGACGTTCGTCCAGTCTTTTAAGGTATTGTTATAGGCATTGAAAGACTAAAGCATGCGAAAACACTGAACGACACTGACAGAGATGTCCTGTTTCTGCTCCGGTAGGCGCTGCCATACGTCTGTCTGCTCATTGCCATGCTCTTCTTTATCTATGCCATCATTGGCATGCAGGTAAGTTGGGCTAAAATATTTTTTATTTGTCTTTGTTTACCTATTACAGCTTTACTCTACAGTTTGTGTAAAAAATGGTTTTATTTTGTATTTGCAATAACTGGATAAGTTTGAAATAGAAAAAAGTCAAACTTGACATCTGAGGGTTGTCTAATCATAACTTCTGAGGTAGAAACACTGATTTCAGGGGTTGGCAACTACATTCTTCTGAGGTTTATTTCTGACTTAAAATGCACATATTTTAATACAAACTCTGTAGGAATCTGCATGTCCCATATAAAAACCAAGAGGATATAATTGTTGTATTTATTGCTACAAAAGAAATAGATTTCTTCCGGTACAACCCATGTACAACTTCTTCTGGGTTTTTCCCATGTTGTTTCTTTATCAGGAAAACTAGTGATTTATTCATTTAAATAGTGCTGGTAATATTTGACATAACAGTCCACTTGAACAATGACTGGTTTAGTTTGCATAACAGCAGCTTAAGTCAGCATGTTTGGGGTTGTACAAAGATAATGGAAATGTGTAAATATTCTGATTGACAGCTCCAGGTTTCACTTACAAATGAACTCTTCTTTATATACCATCTGTTCCCATTGCCTGTGTGTGTGTCTAGTTGTTTGGGAACATAGCCCTTGATGAAGAGGAAGGAAGTGCTATCAATGAGCACAATAACTTCAGATCCTTCCATATGGCTCTAATGCTGCTGTTCAGGTAAGCTCACACCGTCTCAATTTGTCTCCTCTTTTTGTATTCACCACCACCATTTTTGTATTAAGTATTTTGCACAATGCAAACTCCATCATTCAGCTCAGGTTTTCCTTACTTATTCCATAAATAATTGGGACTCTATATAAAATATAGGGTATACAAATCTATACAAAAAAAGTTATAGATTTTAGCAAAGAAAACATGTCAGATGTTGAGATATATTACTGTTTTCCTCTTGCTGTTTTCTTCATCTTGAATTTGATGGCAACAGTATTTGTGAGACAGGCAAAGGGTGTCGCCCTTCGTGGATATTCATCATTGGCGGCTCACTTTTTCATCTTGCTCTGTGTGTTCCCTCCTGCAGGAGCGCGACAGGTGAGGCGTGGCAAGAGATCATGTTGTCTTGCCTGGGAGAAAAGCAATGCGACGAGGACTCAGGGACGTCAGGAAAGGAGTGTGGCAGCACCTTCGCCTACACCTACTTTGTCTCTTTCATCTTCCTATGCTCTTTTCTGGTGAGAAATAATCCTATCTTCTTTTAAGCAGCTAAAATTCACATTTAATGTTTTCAGTGAGCAAATGCTCACTTCCTTCATTGGTACGGTGCACATACCGTGCCTTAAGGGCAGGCCAGTGGAACAGGGTTATCAGATCCAACCACGGAATTCTTTCCAAGTCGTTTGTTTGCTTGTTTCAAGATGCTGAATCTCTTTGTGGCTGTCATCATGGATAATTTTGAGTACTTAACCCGAGACTCATCCATCCTGGGGCCTCATCATTTGGACGAGTATGTAAGGATATGGGCTGAATACGACCCAGCTGCGTGGTAAGTGGCACACTCACATCTTCAAATGCAGTACACATGGATAATATAAAGATACAAACATGTGTTACCTGTGTGTAATTTAAAAAAAAGGCAGACAATGTCTACATTTGTGTGCTGAACGTGACCTGACTCCTAACCACTGACTTTTTCTCCTATCCCACAATGGGTCAAAGCCCTCCTCCAGGACATGTGAGGAGGAAACAGGTTCCTCTTTGTAAAAATAAGAGTCAAAGCTGAACATAAAAAAAAAAATGCTTGTTCGAGCTGAAAGTGTTTTAGCCTTCTCAATGTCTTTCTGTTTTCTTCTCTCTAAGCATTTTTTTTCACACATTGCACAATTTGTGCACAGCTAAGATCAATATAGGCCTTCCCTGTCCCTCTTTTCCCCTCTGTTACGTTTGTGCATGAGGAAAAAAAAATTCTCAGTGAATAAATGCTTTCTTCCTCTAGACCTTTTTCTTCTTCCTTCTTCTCCTCTGCTCTCTTTATTTCTTACTATATGTATTCTCTTTTTTCCCCCACCTAACTCCCCTCCTTGTATTTTTCTTGCAGCGGGCGCATACATTATAAGGATATGTACAGTTTATTGCGAGTTATCTCCCCTCCTCTGGGTCTTGGCAAGAAATGCCCACATAGGGTGGCCTGCAAGGTTTGGACCAAACCCCTAAAGCACAAATTAAACGCAACCTGCTCGCCTTTAAGAGACTGGAATGAATGTTGCTCTTTATCACTTTTAAGACCAACTTTCAACATTAACATTTTATTTCCATCGGTTTAATTTCTCTGTTTAGATTTGCATTTTTCAGTTGTTTAAGCTCATTTCACCATCGAGTCATCGTTCTTTTTTTATTTTGGGGGGTAATTGTTTATGCATTCTGACCTGAAAATGAGAATGTTTGGGACAATGCAGAAACACAGACAGTCTTGCACACACCAACACACACACGCACACTGTTACCGGTGTGTGAAGCATGAAGTTGTGCACTGCACTTGCAATTGCCTTCTGACTGAACGCTGGAAAAGTTACACTGATGTCTTTACTTTTGGTTGAGTAATATATTAACTACTTTCTAGGCTCCAGTCAACCATTGTTTTTTTTTTTAGTTCTGCTTGCTGTCTAATTTTGCCTGGGCAGAAAATGTTTGGACAATGTGCATTGTTCTTGTTTAAGTTAGGGTTCGGAAGTGGGGGGGTGGACGGGGTTATCTTAATTCAAAGTCATAAGCAGAGAAGGTTTGGTCTCAGTTCTGTCACTGCTTTCCTTCATCAATTTTAGCCTAGCTGATGTTTCACAGATTTTTGTCCCTGAACCTAAACATTGGCTGACTTTTATCAGTCAATCAAACAGTTTAATTGTCTTATATCAGCTACTCTCATAGTTCGTGTAAAGCAGAGACTATTTGATTTATGTCCAGGAAATTTGTCCGGGTACAACCCCGCCAAAACTGGTCCTGATAATATATTTCACAGCCAAATGATAAAAAGAAGTAAATAAATAAATAGTTGTCTATGCTGGGATATGAAACATTGAATTTATACTTATTGTTGCACCAAACTCAGCAAATTCCCTTTTTGAATTTTTTTAATGTTGTTAAAAGCAAAATAAATCAGATAAAGATGAAGGGGCTGTATATGTGGGCACAGATTGTGAGATAGAAATCCACAGAAAATCTTAAGTTCCCACCCAATTAAATATTTTTAAATTTTCCTTGGAGGTTCCAAGCAAAATGCCAGCGTTGTGTGTAGTTGTTTTTGTGTTTGTTTTTGTGTTTGTTTTTAATATATCAAATGATAGTGTGTTAAAACACTTGAATATCCCCATTCAAGAACAAAAAAAGTACTATACAACATTATTTAAACAAACATAAACGATCATGATTTTCTGAAAAAAGCCAAAAAACAAAACAAATATAAAAATAGTCATCAAGCCATTTTACATCTTGTTTTTTAGATACTTTTACTGGTTAAAGAAAGCTGTGCTTTGCCCCTCTGTTCGACATATTAATAATCTAGTCAATAATTATTAAATATAACTATTATTTTAGTGATATTTGAAATAGGTATTCCTTTGCATTCTGATTATATGCGCAGTTAGGTTTAGTAGGTTGAGCATAGTTCAATAGAGTGATATGGCCAAATCTCATCTGTTTGTGTCTCTGATGTATAAGGACAAATCAAAAGGGGCAGGATATGTGTGTGTATGTGTGTGGTTTAGGGTTAAGACTCTGGAGGTCTAGTGTCCACCAGTTACCTCTACATAATTTGTGTTACCGGTGTTCTTGGAAAAATGATGTTATTTCTAAACATGTTTCAGCTTGTGATGAAACATTTTAACTTATTTGTTTTGAAAGATATACAGAGGCCCACAACCTTTTAAATCAGAATTGTTTTTTTCTTGTCATGGCTAAAGGATTTGGGGCTGGGGGGGGGGTTGTTTTGTTTTTTGTGCTGGTCTGCCCAAAATTACATTAAAAGAGGCCTCTTTTCTGCTCTTGTCATGCTTCACTTAAATGGGCACAGGCAAGTTATACAGTTTATATGGCTGGTAACAACACAAACAGCCTACAGCTATGATAATATCTATTCGGTCTTTGTGATTAAGCTTACAAGAAAAATCGCCCATCTGAAAAACTGTGAACCCACAGATATTTACAGTTGGGTGACAGCACATCGTAGCCAGGGTATTGCTGCCCTTCACAATATCAGAGAGGGCTCTCAGGAGCATCCGGAAACACAGCTGTGAGCGGAGGCTCCTGGTGGACGCGCAGCCCCAGTAACTGACTGCATTGACTTGTCACTGTGACTCACTCCGATCTCTGCAGTGGTGCTTCTTTGCCTGCTGGAGGCCCCGCTGCCAGTTCTATCCGAGTGGCGAAAGAGGGCAAAGAGCAAAAAAAGAAAAAAAAAATCGAATCCCCTTTTCACCTCGCATAGAACGATATTTTTAACAACAACTAACTTAACCTAAATAACACCTCCTCTTCCAAACCTCCCTTCCCTCCCTACGCTTCCTTATCCCCTTCTTTTTCTGTCCTCTCCCTTATTTTATGATATGTAAAACAAGAGGGCACATAACACAACCCCTCGTCTTCTATCTTCCTCCTTCTTTCTCTTTTTCTCTCACCACAGCAACCACATATCCACAGCGATCAGAACAATAACCACTGTGTATTTGTTTCCCCTCCTCTTCCTTTCCTTTGTCGTTTTATTTTTGATTTCTCCCCATGTCCCCCCCCCACCACCCACCAAAACACACCTCTGTGCGTCTCTGTCCTTCCCCTGTGATGCTCCCTCATCCCCCCCCCCCATTGTTTTTTTTCTTTCGTTTTCACGTCGTCCGTCTCTGTTTTGTCTGTTGTGTGTTGGTGTGTGGGTGTTGAATGCATGTGTATTCGTGACGTGTGTTCGTGTGCGTGTGTGTGTGTTTTTGTGGCCACCCCAGCGGCCGGATCAGTTACACAGACATGTATCAGATGCTAAGACACATGTGTCCGCCGCTAGGCCTCGGGAAGAGGTGTCCCGCCCGGGTCGCCTATAAGGTAGACTCGCCCCCCACCTTACCCCTCCACCCCCACAACCACTACCTCACCTCCATCTCTCCCTAAAATGTCCCATTATCCCTCTCTTCCCACTTTTTCTCCAACCCCATGTCTCACTCCTTTAACCTCCCCATCGCTGGGGAGGAAATATCCTCTCTCATCTTCTAAAACCCTCCTTGTCCTTTCCCAGTTCTTCTTCTCCTCCTCCTCCTCACTCCCTTTCCTCCACCTCCCTCTCTCCCTCCTCCCAGCGGTGTTCTCCTCATTGTCTGTTAGTGGTGGTTGTGGTGATGGTGAGCGCTGTCCTCTCTTCTTTCTCCGACCGCAGGGATGGAGGGATGGGCTTTTGTTGTGCAGTGAAGTGAAGTGATAGTGGAGTTGTAGTCAGTCCTCTTCCTTTTATTTCTTCCTGTCATACCTCAGGAGTAAGGGAATGCAAGAGGCTTTGCCAGTCCTTCTGCAATCTGCACGGATGCTTGCACATGTCAAACTTAATCCAGAGAGAGACACAGTGAGAGCACAGATGGCATTGATAATATTCCCATTCTAATTTATAATAACGAGAACAAAGCATAGTTATCAGATTGATTGCATATTTATAGCAAACATAAATTCGGTAGGGCAATTATCTATGTGATGACATTTTAGCCTTAAAAATAATCATCTCAATTAAACCCATTACATATAATATCCAGCCACATTTTCCTATTACTTTAGGTTTGTGGAACATTCTTAAAACAAATATAATATGCAATGTGTAAAAAAACAATTATCTACTATTGATGACAAAGGATGTTAGAATCAGGATGTCAGGGTTATACTGCCACAGTGCAATATATGCTTACGATGCAGGTACAGAAGGACCGGTGAGGGTGTCTGTCTTCAGTCCTCTGCATCTCTTATTCCTGCAGATGACACCATAATTCACGTATACACTATCCAGCACTACCACACATATAAAAAGAATTCCACACAAAAAAGTCATTATATAGTCATCAAATAAGATGGGAAATGTTCTGGCCCTTATATTATTTAGTGGTCTTTTATTAAGATTCCTTTTTCCCCTAAACATACAGATCCTTTAGTGTTTTTTTGGTTATTGTATTCTGACCAGTAGGATGAAGGTATGGTTAGATCTTTGAAGCAGTTGCTGTGTCTCTTTCTTGTCCACTCTCTCTCTCTGAGTTCTCAGTGGTGTCCCACTCTTTCTATCTAACTTGCTATTTTTTCTCTCAGTTGTCATCCAGATTTAAAAAAAAAACAATATTGATATAGTATTGATCAATTTGGTATTATCAAACAGCTGATTCACACATTTTGATTGTGGTGCCAAGAAATTTTCTAAATTTAAAATTTAGTCAAATCTTGGCCCGCATTTTTAAATTAATGAAGAATTTTAATAATTAGTATTTGAGATTTCAGTTATTAAATCACTTATCTAGACTACACTTAACTACATGGTAGTATCTTTAGATACGTTTCTTTATACCATCCGTCCATCCATCTTCAGAACAGCTTATTCCAAAAGAGGGTCGCGGGTGGACTGGAGCCTATCCCAGTAGTCAATGGGCGAGAGGCAGGGTACCCCCTGGACAGTCATACAGTCCATCGCAGGGCCACACAGAGACACACAAAGACAAACAACGTAGCACACTCATATTAACTCCTAAGGGCAATTTGGAATGTCCAATCAACCAAAAATGGAAGGAAGCCGAAATTAAGTTTCTTTATACCAGTTCTTTCAATTCTTGAGACAGATTGTCTCAAACTTGTACATATATCTACACAAGATGGTGCACATTAAATATGATAACAGGCGAACTGATCATAAATTGCAACCTTGATTTATTTAAAAATTATTTATTTAACCTGGGTGTCAGCACCTTCCTTTCTATTACTTTTTTCTCTCCTAACTTCTTTCACTTACCCTATCTTTTGCTAATTTCTACACTCTTTTCTGTCCTGCTTAGAAACTATATCTGGCTAATAATCTCTCTTCTGTCTGTTCACCACTATGGTCATTTGTCTGTCAGCTATCAAGATCCACCATCATTCCGTCATCTGTCCGGCATACACTCTGTTTCTCCTGTACCTCTCCTCTCTGTTCTGTCCTCTTTTTTTCAGCCCGTTTCATCAGTGGCCCTAGTCACATATATCAGCCATCACTTAGTTTGCTTAAGGGCCCTTTGAATTCAGAAAGACATAGAATAGTGTGACAAAGATTCAGTGCAGATCACGCTGAATGTCATGGTCAATTACTAGATATCGTACTTCTTTTAGCAGTCACAAGAAAAGGGAAACTGCGATAACTGATTTCTATGTCACCTTTTTACTTGAGCAGACCTCTAAACCCATGTAAAGTGTTGTTTTTAGTCTTCGTCTTTATCTCTTGTCCTGTTCTGTACCTTTTAGCCTCTCTCCTCTACACACACACAGTTCATTTCTCTGTTAATACCAGCTGACATGTTTCCTTATATCTTCTTCTTAAACTCTTTAAATGTTTTCACAAAACCTGTTTCCCTCCTCATTCTTTCCTCTCCCTATTTATCTGTAACTACATTCCATGACCAGCCTAGATTCACCTAGTTTAGCTCAACTAACTGCTGTCCCAACCACACATCCCCTTTTATAGACCCCGTTCCTCCCTCCCTACACTAATATAATCGCAAGGTCTGGTTGGTCCAAAACAACAAGAGACCATATATCATCTGTTTTTATATTTTCTATTATATATTTTTTTCTTCTTTCAGGCAATATCACAACTAAAATCATCTCTAACTCTTGCACCCACTTAACACACCCATTTGGCACTGAGAGATCTTGAATTTATAAAAAGTGCTACCACTGCTTCTGAATTTGACTTTGATCAAGGGACCCATAAATGAAAAATGTAGAGGTAAAAAAAAGAGACACTTTTGGTTAACCTGAAGGATCAATCCAGTTGGATTGAGGATACTCTCTTTGTGCAGATGCACGGCTGCTTGTAATGTAAAAGTGGGTCTTTGGGGGAAGTTGTGGATTAGTGGGCTGGGTAGGTGAGAACAGTTGGGGTTTAGATAATGGAAAAATGAAGTAAAGGCATGTTGCATGTTTTGTACGCATTTGTGGGATATTATTCTGGGAATGTCGTGTAGTGTTGCATGCTATCCTCGCAGTTTTTGTAGCATGGCTGTGGGCAACATTGAGCTGCCTGGTTGTGGATGTTGGCTGATGCCCTTTGCCTGCCGCACACTTGGCTTTGGGCATGCCCAACACTCGGACACAATTAGGAACACACAAGCATGAACACAACCCCACCGCCTTGCCGTGCTTGCCATCGTGAGTGCCCAACGCTCATGTTCGTAGGTAAATCAGATGGATATCAGCTGGTCGAGATAGGTACAGCAAGCCAAGCTTGTTTTGTCCTATCGACCGGTTTCTCCATCAGTTTTACTTCGTATAAAGATGTGAAGGCAAAGAACCTCCTGATAGGTAAGGGGAGCTCAATAGCAGGTGCCTGGATTAAATAAAACCACAGCTGTCTCCTGAAAATAGCAGAATTACACCAGTGATACTGTTATTGTTCTCCAGTCGAAGTATTTTGTCCAGAAGGACTCCAATTAAGTGCTCTTAATTGCAGTCTGTGAAAATAATTGTGTGTTAGTGGGCAGGGAAGGATGTGAGGGTGGGGGGGGTTCTGTGTATGTGAACTGTCATATATTTATATACATCTATGTGTGTAAAAGCAAGATGTGTAAATGCACACATGCATTCACACATGTAGGGAACATGGGCACAGGTTGGGTCAGACGCCATATTGGCTCTGATTGTTCTTCCTTGTGGTTCTCAGCTCTCACAGTTGCTTAGCAGCATCGGATAGCTGTGCTGTCTCGTAGAGTATCACTGGGAAACACAGGAGGCACTGAGGCTTATCAATACAAGCTTCAATTCCCTAAAAATAATAAACCAGCATTATAACATTACTGTGTAGCATACGTAAGACATGAATGATCCCTTAATAAACTGTAGGTCCCATTTTAAAAGGACTTTTGAAAGCCTGATTGAGATTCGACCATTCTTTCCTTAATTACAATCCATCTCAGGAAATAAAGACATAAAGTCTGGATAATTCCAGTCCGGCTTAACCTGGCTGAGGTCTATGGAGCTCTCCCGACCTCACCCAGACCCCTTAAACCTATCCCCTCTGTGTGGAGGTTCAGGGACAACCTAATTAACTGAGGACGCATTTCTGTTTCTCATCCTCTCATCCTCACTGGTTCTCCACAGAGGCTGCTGCGTATGGATCTGCCAGTCGCCGATGACAACACAGTACATTTTAACTCCACCCTCATGGCTTTGATCAGGACCGCTCTGGATATAAAGATTGCCAAGGGTATGATTTGCCAATACTGTCACACCAGTATCAGGTTAACTTTAATTATCATGAACTTTTCACTGAGAATCTTAACCGTATTGCTGTCTGTTTGTGTTTCTGCAAAACTGTGCAAGTCTCCCTTCGCACACTAACAAACTTTTTTGTTTTTGGTTAATGTGTACGTGTGTGAATGGACTTATATATTGTGATTTTGTGGTACTCTACTCTCTTGGTCTGTACCACCTTGATCTGGGCTTTTACTTTGTTGCTTTTCCACGTACGTATTTAAATGTTTGCCTGTGTGCGCAAATGTTTGTCGTGTGTTTGTGTGCGTATACACTGGGTCACGGTCTATCCAGGCGGTGCAGACAAGCACCAGATGGATGCAGAGCTGAGAAAGGAGATGATGGCTATCTGGCCAAACTTATCCCAGAAGACACTCGACCTGCTGGTTACACCGCACAAGGGTAAGTTGCAGAAAAAGATGCTCATTGCAGGCATAGTGTTAGTGTATGTGTGTCCGTTCACTAAGCCACCAAGAGGACAGCTTTTACCGGTCAGTGTCATTCACTGCTTTGCATCTCCTGACCAGACTGCACCACACTACTATACACACACACAGGCATACATCTACGAATCCCAATATACTGTGTAGCCTGGAGCCAAGCATTACAGTTGCCGGATAAATACATGTAAAACTGGAGAAAAAAACTGTAAAACTCAAGATCCTCATTATCATTTTTCCACCCCTCTGAATATTGTTTAGATAAATGTTCCCTTTTTTAGAAATAAGAAAGAAAAACAAGTAAAAATGTATATCAAGACTTCCTTATTGTTTTCTGTCAATATTCATTGTCTTCATAGCCTGATTAAATCAAATTACTTTTAGTGACCTCTGGTGTTTTATGATTTATCTTCAAGCTTTCAAAAGTATAGCATAACTACCTAGCAATATGCATAGCCTTGTAGTTATCTGCCATTCAATTAATGGTTTAATAGTTCCACAGTATTAGCATTCAAAGAGACACAAATACAACAAACCATTCACAAAGTCACATGTGCATTGATGTATTCAGAAACTACACACACTGCTGGTCTCAACACACACTCAGTCAGTACTGGTATCAGGGGGTGCCTGCTATAGATGATCCTCTATAGAAGTCTTTTCACTACAGGAAGAATTTAGGTGCACATAAACAGACTGTTTACATAAACAACTGTTGAGTTTGTAGGACAGTGATGAAGGACACATTTCAAATATAATGTTTTGTGTTTTTTTAATGAACATGAACTAAAAGAAGCACGATCATGCATGTTTGGCTATTAAATTACATTGTTGAGCTAAATGCATGGGTCAACTAAAATATAAGCTATATAGTAACGTATTTATGGAATGACACAGTTGTGGTCACATCTTATCAAATAACTGTCTTAATCTTGGATGACTTGTAGCCATGTCACTCTGAAAAGACACAATCTATTCAAAGACAAGTTCACCAATAATTATCTATTAACAGAGCTCGATATTTTTTCTGAGTTTAAATGTTTGTGTATTCCATCCAAACGCTGGAGATTTAAGACCAGAGTTTTAGAATAATTTTGAGCTGCTGTTTTTCTTTTTTCCTTTTTTTTCTTATTGACTGAGGTGTCCATTTGTTTCTGAAAGTGAGGTGGCTACCATGTCCTAGCTCAGTTTTTTCAATTTTTTTAAGGATGATCTTTCAGCATGATATGATGATATTTCAGAATTTCTAAGAACATTTTTAGTAAATACGTAAGTACAGCATCTGCCTGTGAAAAGACTACAAGCTTTACTGTGGTAATAACTGTACAGTGTTGTAATATTGTATTTGTCTATTGCACACCAGCAATTGTCAGTTGTTACCAAACAGCATTGGTTAATATTTTATTGCGGCCTCTGACAGCCGATTCCACAGTTTAAGTCTCAGTCAGAAGCACAGTTCCTCTAACAGTCCTCATGATATAATTAGTAAAATGGAAAAATTTTACAATTTTTATGTTGATGTGTGAGTATCCCATCCCTTAAAATGATTAACAAATAATTATATTATGAATTCCTATTTCATTTTTTACAAAAAAAAAACAAAGGACAAGGAAAGTAAATGAAAGGATATTAAAGTTCTAACCTTAACCATGAAGATGTAACTGTGAGCAACTTTTAGTACTTGAAACACTTGTCTCTCCTTATCTGAAATGTACAACTGTGGAAATTGCTGGTGTATTCTGCATGTCATTGTGTATTTCTCTGTGAGTGTTTTTGTGTCTTGTCCCCCACTCCCATTCCCCCCACGGCTCAGGGTCCCATCTCACTCGGGTCTAATCTTCCAGGGTAACTTGTCATTTTCTCAGCAGCCACAGACTTGACGGTGGGCAAAATCTACGCCGCCATGATGATCATGGAATACTACCGGCAAAGCAAGACAAAAAAGCAGCAGGCCTTGCGAGAGGAGCAGGTAGACTTCCTCCCAGCATCCCAAAGAATCTCCCACGAAAGAAAAAAAGAGATGTTTTTTTTGTTGTTCTTTTTCACATCTTTTTCCTTTTAGGCACCGTTTTAGAATCCTTCTTTTTTCTTAATTTTTGACGAAATTTAGAATCTGTCTTCCAAATTTGAGAAAAAACTTATACTTAACTTACTAACTTATACTTAACAATATATCATTTTAATTTTTTAAAAGATCATAAGCTATGCAACCCTTACCCTTTTTTCTTTCAAGAACAATCTGTGTTCTTTTTTAGCATGTCACCTGAATGCTTTTTTTTAGCACCTTGCAGCTCCCAATGCCATTTTCATTCTTTTTCCATTGTTGTGAAGAACTATCTTTTTATTTCTAATTTATTGGCAACGTTTTCCTCCTCTTTATCTGCTCACTATGGGCTTTTCTAATATCTTGAGGAGGTTTAGGGGTTATGGTGTTCTGACAGCAGATTTTATTGTCAGTGAGTTTCGGAACAACAATGATGATACCACATGGCCTCAGCTTTTGAATGTCCGTGCTTCGTCCCTCCTGTCAATGAATGCCCCTGAGATGCATTCACCCCCACTGTCTCTAGAATTTCAGTCAACTAGGTGGAAGTGTGGAAACATCTCTCCTGTCTTTCTGTGCCTCCTAAAATAATCTAAATAAGTCCAAATTTGCTCTTGAAACAGGATCAGTCTAAGTAGCGTGATTAGAGATATACTTTCTAAGATGGGGTTTCCATTTTGCAGAAAGGAGTGTACTTATCACCGGAGAGTATGTTCATTGTTTCTTCTTTTAAAGCAGTGAGCAACTGCAAACTAATTATGTGTGAGTATGTTTCTGAATGCAGCTTATGCGGGTGGACTGAATTGACAGTGCCACACAGGCCCTCAGCTTTGCACATGGACTTCAATCTGTGTGTTTCTGTTTTGTTTTGACATCTCTATGTATACTCATTTCATTCTCCTCCTTCCTTTGTTTTTCAGAATGTTTGTTTTAAAGAGTGAATCCACCAAAACATGATGCCATTGATATGAAAGCCCATTCAGATCACTTTTATGTCTTTTGCAGGTAGTGTCAAACATTGAAAGTCATACTCATCAAGCGTATCGCTCACTGGTTTTATTCATGTATTTGCCCATAACCATACTTTTGATTTTAAATTATACATCAAACCCTGTGACAACTAATATATACTAATAAGCATGTCTTAATAAGTTATGTACATATATAAATGTTATTTATATATAAATGTATATTGCACTAACTGACCATTGACAATAGATGGTGTGACCATATATCCATACATGATACACATAGATTTATATGTGTATCTTTTATGTAAGTGACCATGTATGGATTTGGCCACGGAGACTGTTGGTATGACATACTCAATATTTAAAAGGTTAATTCAATTAAATGATGTACATTAAAAGAAATACTTTTTTTTTTAGAGAAAGAGACTGAATCAAATCAAACCATCATGGGATGAACTCTTCCCTTCTCTGGCATGACACTGTCCCACCTGAGGGACTGGAGATCTCCTGGGAGGACCTCTGATGTGTCTAATCAAAGCAGAGATTAACTTGTAACACAAGTGGTTCACTTTTAGAAGTCATCTTTGTCTGATCACAGGGATTATCTATGTATGTTTTTGATTTTTACCTCAAAATCCAAAATGTAGAAGTTCCCCTCAGACACAAATCTGAGATTAGCCCTCCTTCCTTTATATAAACAGTCAGTGAAGTCGGCTTTATGACATTATGGGCTCTTTCAGTGTGACTCAGGGAGTCCAGATAAGTAGTCTGGTTGGGAACTCTACTTTAATGTCACAGCCATGTGCTTGCTGATGGCGCCCCCGTGTGGGTGCATGCCGCGAGTGCATCCTGTGTTTGTGTCCTGTGTCTGCCCCCGAGTGTGCCTGATGCAAGCTTGCAGGCCATGTCATGTATCTCACACAGAACCAACCCCCATTAATGTTTAAGCGTATGAAGCCATCCTCTGAGGGAGGAGACTCAGATGGCCAGGGGGGGCAAGGCCAGAACGGCCTCCCTAGCACCCAGCCGGACAATATCAACAGCCTGTAAGTAGACTTTTACTCTTCGTGCACAGCATTTACACATTTGAGAGAACTTACAGGATGGGCTAACGATCATGTTTGTTTTTTTCTCGGGTTTTGTACATAATTCAATATCAGTAGTGTTTTTTTTAGAAATCTATGAAAATTGATTAATATATGTAGGTGAAGACATGCATTTGACAAAAGAAATATCCTGCTTTTAAAAATGGCCTTAATAGTATCTTAGAAATGCATCAAGAGGAGAAGCTATTGTGTACATTTTTTACATAGAAGACAGAACAGGACTGTATGAACAGCTCTAATTTAGATGTTTTAGTTGTGTTTCTAGTGGCCAAAATTAGTCTAGATATCAGTATTAAGTCCAAATGAAACACTTATCAGAATTAAACAAGACTGCACAAATGACATTTGATCTATGAGAGTGTGTTTATGAATCACAGTTCTTTGTGTCATTTGCTTAATGATTTAGGTCAAGGCCTTTTGTTTTGGCACCCCCTCTCCATAGTGAGATGTTACTTTGAACTACTAGAAAATGAAAACTAGATAAACAAACAACATTAAAATGTCTCTGATAATGGTGATCCTTCTCGTATTTCTTTAAATCATCATTTATTTTGGACGTTTCTCAGTTAAAAGGACTCATCCGAACAGAAAATGAACAACGTTCAAGAAGTTGACTTTTTATTATTTACAAAATATAAAAAGCCAACATTTTTGAAAGTGACATCTCTGATTTGGAGTGTATTTTGTCTGTCTGGACATGTATCTGAATGCAAAGACCTCCTGATGGGGGAACGACAGCTGAAGCCCAAGATATGTCCCATAAGCCAGGGAAGTGGAGCCCTGACAGACCCTACCCTGATGACCTCCATGAGAACCGCCACAACCCCCAGGTATGATGGGTCCAAGCACGCCGTCACCGTGGTACTAAACCAATCCAACGGTCATGGAGCCTAGACTGACAGTTGGTCTCCAACCTCGATGTTTATGTTTCAGTTTAGAGTTGCTAATGATGCTGTTAAATCAAAGTACTGTGTCAAAGGTGCTTACGGAAAATGCTTATGGCAACTCACCATTCCTGCTGTTGCATCTGAAACATTCATTGTAGTAATACACAAGGTATAAACAAAGGCAGTATTAAGAGGTAGGACGAAGGCCTTAACTGGAAAATGAATTACCTTTTCTGATTTACTCCTAAACTCCAGTATTGTTGTGTCATTGTTTTTCAGATTTAGATTAGTTCATTATTAATCCACTCCATCATTTCAGGCATCGATTTCCCAGCAAACTCCAGTAAATAATTTCTTAATGTCAACCTCTTAACATATATGTGAATAGTCTTTCCGTTGTCATTCCAGTGTAAAAGAGACACTTATTGTACATCTTCTTAATTCTCTCTTCTCTTTCTCAATCTTGGTGTATAGTATTTCCCTAATATTTTCATCCTCCTATTTGTCAGTCTTCCTATTTCACTCTTCAACTTACTCGTGATTTGTTGGCTTGGACTTAATAGATGTGTTTTGTCGTGTAAAGCTTTTCCTTTTCACTTCCCCTTACTTTCGCTTGTCTGTTGGGATGCCCCAAGTCCCCAGTGCCTCATCTATTCAACCACATGATCACACGATGAAACTATGCCTTCGGAAAGGACATAATATTTGGGCACTACTCTTGAATCCTTCAGTCAGTTGCTCTTCATCCAAAACCGTTTTCGTGTTCTCAAGGACGATTTCCCAAGAGGGAGCAGTTATTTTACATACATTCCGATTTTGCGCTCATAATTTTCTCAAATAAATCCAATCTAGTCGAAACTGCCATTGTACGAACATTTTATGCATGAAACAGTTTTTCTTCCCCAACAAAGGTTGCAACAGCTAATTTATGCAAATATTTGCTGCATAAATTATTAGAGAATTATTCAGATAATGGCAAATAAGATCTTACTCTTTTTGACATTATTTTATCCCTTTCCTTCGGTTGATCATTGACCCCACGCCATGTCCACTCCCTCAGCAGACAGTGGTCACGCCCCCTCTCATTGTGTTTTACAGACGGTAGAGTTGAGGGAGATGGGGCGGGACGGGTACTCCGACACTGAGCCCTATCACCCAATGGATGGGCATGGGCGGACCCTCTCCATGCCCCGCCTCTCAGCAGACAACCAAGTGAGCACCTTCATCCCACCATCATCACTATCACTCATCACTATCATTGCTCGCCATCGTTATGGCTGTTAGCTTCGACAGCTGAAGTTAATTAAATCTTTCCATGCATCCTAGAAAAATGACACAGCCAGGTTTCGATTTTCTTATAGAAGTATTGGTTTTAGGTCACAGCTTTCTTTTCTCTTTTTATATATAATTAAACATTTTGTTCTAATATTAGGATTTTAAAAAACATACTTACTTAAATGATTCTTGATTTTTGTTTCTTTTTTTCACAGTGTTTGTAATTCAATTATTATAAGTTTATCAATTACTTTTTTTAGTAAGTCTAGTTGTTATTAATATTGTTTAGGATGCAACATAAGGTTCTGTATTGACTTCCAGCTGCCTGGTGGTCCTCAGCATAATCCTCTCCTTCCCTCGCCATCTGTCAAACCCGTAACATTTGATTTTTTTCCACTTTATCCCCCCACTGCTCACCTCCAAGTGAAATCCAATTTAAGCAACACAGCACCAACTGCATGCTAATAGTACCGCAAAAATGGGGAAAATGGGCAAAAAAGGGGTCTAAAATTAGGAACAGTGTGCTAGATATGTAAACACACGTATATATCTACACAACTTGTACTACCCAGGGAAAGTTTGAAAACACCTAATGAGTCGGTATTTCCAAACTTTTGACCCAGACTGCAGTGTTTCTTCCCTTCTTTATCCCATTCATTCCCATAAAACCTTGGTGTGTCTGTCCTGTGTATGCTGTGGCCAGAGTTAGTGTCCTCCTTCACTCATGAAAATACTAATTTCATAAACATATAAAGATTTATCAGTCCATGTTTCTGCACAATTTCAAGACACAAGACACATGGCTGACTCATTGTGTGATACAATATCAAAGGAAAAGTGTTGTAGGATGATACAAGAGTTGTGCTTATTATTATGGATCCATTCTTTTTTTAACAATTTTTGGTGAACACATGCTAAATCTCAGATTATATGTGTCTTTTTGTGTAACAGTGGTATTCTACTCCTAGGTTTGCTACTTTGTTTTTTCCCCGCCAATGTGAGTCAGCACTTGAGAGATTTCTGTTGGGCAGCCACTCTGGTTTTTCTGAGATCCTATGAAATATCTTTTTATGCCTGACAAACTTCCTTTAACATTTTGTAAAATGTCAATGCATAAGTAAAACGCATTCAAACTGAATTGAAACAGCTAGAAATATTTAACCTTCAAAGTAACTGCTAGTCCTAAAAGTTTGCATACTTTTCCCACTTTCCAGTGATTAATGATTGATTGTTGCAATTTTGTCCTATTTAAAGAGGACTCTCTTTACCTACTTTTAGGATTTGTGTTCATATCCAGAGATATTATATGTTATAAATCAAATATTCGATTGCCTCATTTGGGTAATGTAGATCCTTCGAACTTCAGACGCATTTTAAAGTTTGCTTTTATATTACTGAAAAGGAAGTGAGTACGATTCCAGTAATCCAACACATTATCCTCACAGTGCTTATTGACTCACCTGTTTACAAAGTTTGAAGCCTCTGGCTGCAGTCACACACATGCTCACCTGCACATCCGTGTGCACAAGCATGGCCATAGTCCAGCATTTCACTACATTGAATCATGTTGCTCTCACTCTGGTATGTTGGCTGCTTCTTGAAGGTTTTTGCTTTCATATGTAGATAAATATCACAAAACATATACTGTAAAATGATTGGGTTTATTGACCTCAACAAGACCTCTTAATTTCACACAACTATTCTGAGTTTGTGGCACAGAAGAGATTTTATTCTGTGTTTTGTTTGTTCCTGTGCTGATACAGTCTAGAAACTTGACATGACTTATTATATCATATACTTTGTCTTGTCTTTCAACACTAACAGCTAATTGTTTTTCTTGGATTGTCCTGAAAAACACTACATGGTATAAGGTATATGTAATTCAAACAATTTCATTTTGATTGTGCCATTATAATATGACAGCAAGTCAGCGTAATGAAAGAAGAACTTCTGCCAGCAAAAGTCCTCTCGTGTGTCTATTTGTGTGTGTGTGAGTTCTGTTATGTATTTAGAACATGTGTAAACCACATAACTTGCGATCCTCTAACACTGCTCTGCCTTACAGAGAGCTCACGCTTTTTCGGTAAGTGTGTGTGAGTGTGTGAAAGTTGCGTTGTTCCCTGTCCTCTCCTGCTCTGTGGTACACACACTGCGCTACCCTGTGTGTGCACTGGCCTCTATGTATTAACTGGGTTCTCGTTCTCTTTTCTTCTGTCTCTGCACCCCATTTATCCCCTCCAAAAATTGTGTCCTTCTTTTATCTTCTTTTTAAAAAAAAAATCTAAACCCCTTTGTCTCTCATTTCATTACTTTTTACATGTCCCATTTATATCTCTTTTTTTCTCTCTTGTGTCCCTGGTGACTGTGCTTTGGGCTTATGCTCTTTGCGTGTGTGTGTGCGTGCGTGTGTGTGTGTGTGTGTGCGTGTGTTACACTGCTCTGCTCTACGTATCATTTCTGTGTTTGCCTGCTCTGCAGCGGAGGAGACACAGGCCTCGTGGAAATAACCTCAGTGTATGTACCTCTCCCTCCATCCCTGTCTGTCTACCTCCCCTCCCTCTTGACTCTTTTTCTGCTGGGCAATTTCTGAATTTTATGAGCATTAGATTATGGTTTGCTGGTTGTTTTTCCCCACCTGGGGTGCCATGTGGGTGGGTTTAAACCTCAGTGAAACGGCTTAGATGGTGTCAGTTGAGCCTCTAGTCTAGTCTGGCTTATTGGCAGGTCAAGAAACCACTGTGTTGCTCAGTCTTCAGTATTACAGCAACAATCTATCTGAGAGTAGCCATACATTTTCTTTCTTATCAGAAGTGCAGTGATTAATTAATTACCAGTATTTTGAACTTCTAAAGAGTGACTTTATCTATATCTATATCTCTTATACTCTGCTTATTAAGATGACAACTAAAGTGAGATGCCATAGAAATGGCACTCCAGCTTTCTCCTCACAGCTCTACAAATTTTGTTATTTTTGATGAAGGTTATTAACCAACCTTTTTTTTAACCTCTGTTAGGATTTATTGCTCAGAATTTACAGATGATCATCTCTTAGATTTTTTTTTTCGATTTATCAGTTATTGTACCATTTGGGAATTAGAGAGGTTCAGTTTTTTTGTAATCCACTGATTTGTGTCTCAGTTTTGTGCTATCCATCACTAGTTCTTTATCTATCATGTTTATTTAATGATTGTGATAATTTAGTGTAGATGTAAACGTGGTCAATAATAAGAAAGCCTTTAAAAAGTCTGCACGCTGTCATGGCTGAAAGTAGGAATTGGAAATCAGGCTCATGTTTATTGTTTAAAAGCAGCCGTGTTTCATTTTTTTCAAATAAATCTGGAAACAAGAAAGAGTGTGTGCATTTTTGCATTTTTACATTCTCGTTATAAAACTAATCAGTTTTATGCATCTGACCCCGGATGACCTTTTAAAACAGCACATACAGCTGTTCCTACAACATATATGCCGGCAAAAAGCATCTGTGTTGTAATGATGAAGTGAACCCAACCCACTTTGTACTCCAGCTTTTCAAATCAACTGTGGCTTCATTGTCACTGATCAGATCTACTTTGATTTGATTTTTTTCATCTTTCCTCTTACTCTTCCTGCTTACCTCTTTACTGTTCAAGCCTTTCTTTTTTGTTTTCTCTCCTATGTATGCTTGTGTTCGGGTCGCGCTGCTGTCCATTGTATGCTCTCCGTGAATTTTTCCATGGATATACGCTCATATGCAGCATTGAGTGTGTTCCTCTTTGTATGTATGTGTGCAGTTTCTTTTTGAATCTGCTGCATTTTTGCGGAACGGGTCAACAGTGTGTGACTAAAGCATGGACTGCCCTGTTATGTGGCTGTTGGCCTGTATGGCCCACTGGCAATGCAACGGCATGTCATCACTCATGCATGATGAGTCTCAGAGGGAATGTGACTGTTGGGAGTGTTAAACCAACAACTGAAATTTTTCTTATTCACTAGCCTGAAAAAGTGGAATGAAACTTGCACAAAGGCTGGTTATGATGCTCCGAAAGGGGCCGGGTCATGTATGACGTGTCTCTCTTCACCCAGTCTAATTAAACACAAATATCACATTAATCCTAGTGTTTCTATAAAAAATTTAATTACTGGGAGGAATATTGCTGTGGACAATTTTTCTTTTATTTCTGAAAATAATCAAAAATCACAATGTAGTGGAAAAAGTCGGTACATTTGCTAATGAAAAGCAAGACTGCAAAAACAATGCTAAACCAGTTGACATTCTAAAATCACATTTTCCAAAGGATCCGTGTTTACATCACTTAATTGTTTCCTTTTAATTGTTATGAAGAGGAATTATGTGCCCACTTTCATCAATTGTGACAGACAGGGTTGGTGTTGATGTGAACGTTGAAGCAGAACATATCCTTCCAAAAAACAAAACAAATAAGTGTTATTGCGCAGGCTCTGTACCACCGGGGCCCCGAGGGCATGCATGGCTTGTGTTAGACTGCTCAGAGAGTGATCAGATGCCGTCTGTGTGGAAAGCAGCTGATGGAATGGTGTGACATTTTTTGAGGTTTACAGTGTTGGCAGGGTCCTGTCCTGGTCAGAAGAACTTGAGAATGAACCCTACAAAAATAACACGAGACATTTCAGTTGGAGTCTGTTTTCTGCCTATGAATTGTTATCTAAGATACATCTAAGCGTATCATTTTTTTTAAGAGCCCTAGAAATTATTAAGGACAACACTGTCCCTATTTCATCTCCGTGAATACAAGCTGACAAATGTGTACACACCTATGTATTTACCCCTACCAACAGACACACACACAAACAACACGATATTACATTCCTGTTGGGTTCTTACAGAGCTTTTGATCAGGCTCTAAGATAAGAACCTGGTATTGAAATGTGTTGTGATTTTTCTCTCTCTGTAACTTACAAGTACCGGTAACTACGACGAGAGTTCTTTGGTGGTAAATAGACATGCTTACAGAAGGACAACCATTAGTGCATCATGGAACATACAGAAATTCACGCCAAAGTTAGGAAGGTAACTCCTCACCTAATTATTAATTTTAGGAAAATGGTTTTAGGAATTCACACCTGTTCCCTTTAGATCAACTTTGAAAGGAAATGAAAGCCTCTAAAACCCTATTCTTTTTTGTATTTTAAAAAAGTCATACAATTTTCCTTCTTTTTCCCCCTTTGAGTTACATGTGCAGATAAAAGATGAAAGTATTCAGCCTGTTTCAGGGGGCAAAGTGTTTTGAACACTTCCTGTTAACAGAGTTTACAATTCTGGCTTTGAAATCTGAGTATGACGTGACTTGAAAATGGCTGCCGTGAGGAAAGGTCGAATGGGCTCCTCTGCCATGTGCATGTGAGGCATGGATTTTTTACACTTCTTGCTTGTTCTCTGTCTCTCTGGCCCTCTTCTCCCGAAATCTGTTTCCTTTTTATATCTCTGTCTGTTTCATTCTTTGATGTTTTGGTGAAAAAGCATGGTATCACATGTTATTACATATGAAAAGATGAATCATTGGGAATTCTAGGAGACATGTGTCATAAGTGCTTTGGAGTTCATTGTTGGTGACAATGACATAAACTAAACATTTCTATTATCAAAAAAGAGCAAAGGTCTTAATTGTCCTGTGTGTTAAAACAGCTACTGACCCATTCATAGAGTTAAGAGTTTCAGTGGGCATCCACACACACAGGAATCCACATTTTGACTAAATCTCACTTCTGTTTTCCTCCCCATTTTTCTCTCTCCCCCACTATTGTTACCTCTTATCTCTTTTCACCACTTCCTCCCACACATTGTGCTCTCCTTATCCACCCTTCTTCCTTTTTCTGTATTTCCCACTGTGCACTCTTTTTTTCTGTCCTCAAAGACCATCACTGATACCGGCCAAATGCGCCGGTCCACCTCCAGCCTGGTTCACGGGCGTTCGGGCCGTGGGATGAGGCTGGAGGACTACTCCCTGGAAAGGTCTGAGGAGGGAAGACACGCCGGTGGACGCAGGCACAGGGACAGAAGTCACCGCACCTCACAGCGCTCGCTGACCAGATACACTGACGCAGACACGGGTGAGACGCTCACTTTGGCCATACAACATGCACCAGCTGCAACATCAGTCACTGCTGTGAAGTTACAAATCTGACAACACATTTAAATTCAGACGCTGTTATTCAACCAGGTTCCTTGTGTCCATTCAAGTCTCCTCAAGGGTTTTGTTGTATTTTCAAACGTAAATTAAGGCACATTTTCACTAGGCCTGGGCACAGACCTGAGCACCACCACACAGTCCGGTGACTTGCCACCCAAGGAGCGTGAGAGGGACCGTGGTCGCACCAAGGACCGACGTCACCACCACCACCACCACCATCATCACAGCTCTATGGACAAAGAGCGCTACGGCCCCGAACGTCACGACTACCCCAGCAGGCATCCGCATGACCGCCATTGGTCCCGCTCACCCAGTGAAGGTCCAGACGGAAGAGGACACAGACAGGTGGGCTCAAAGCAAGATTTATGCAAGACAGCAAGATTTATGTAAAGATTTCGAAATACCAGTAGTCTCTCAAAACTGTGACTTACTCTTTTCCTTTTGCCTCTTGCCTATTTCCAGAAGTTGATTACCTGATATGAATGCTGATATTATCTTTAACATCTGCATTTACTTTCATATCAGTATTTACACATTTATCCAGTAAGAGGTCACAGTTATTTTAATACCCCTACTTATGAATATCAATCTCTCTTTTTTTTGTTATGCTTTTTTATTTTTCACTGTTTCTCTCTCTGTCCATTTTTCTTCAATGTGACGTGTTGCTTCTTGGTGTCAATTTGTTGCTTCATCAATATGTTGGAATGATTTTCAATGGTATCTATCTATCTATCTATCTATCTATCTATCTATCTATCTATCTATCTATCTATCTATCTATCTATCTATCTATCTATCTATCTATCTATCTATCTATCTATCTATCTACCCATCTCTCTCTCTCTCTCTCTTTCTCTCTCTCTCATCACCACTCTGCTCTATTCTGGTTTTGTTGTTGTTGTTGTTGTTGTGGTGCGTTTTGATTTTCCTTGTTTACATTTTGCTGTAGGGCAGTAGTTCGGTGAGCGGCAGCCCGGTCCCCTCCACCTCGGGGACCAGCACTCCACGGAGAGGCCGTCGCCAGTTGCCACAAACCCCCGCCGTCCCTCGTCCACACGTCACCTACTCCCCCGCCGTTCGCAAGCCTAACTACGGCCCCCCTGGGCCGGGCAGACTGCGTTCGCCCTCCCCTCGACAGTTCTCCCCACCTGACCACGACAGGGGCTACCACCATCGACCCCCGTCACGCCACGCCTCCCCGCACCACGGGGGGTCCTCTTCTCGACACGGTTCCCCCCGATCGCCTAGGCACCAGTCCCCACGCTCCCCTCTCCACGGTTCACCCAGGTCCCCGCACCGGAGCCGCTGGAGCGGGCCTCCGCCGGGGGACAGCCTGGAGGGTGACGGGCCCTTCTACGAGAGAGATTATGAGTACGAGCGGCACCATGAGCCTCCTGCCTACGAGCAGAGCCTTTCCCATGGAAACCCTCACCCTCATAGTGGAAACCCTCACCCGCATCCACGCTCACCCAGGACTGCCCGCCACGGGCCCCCTCCGCCTCCTCACCCACATTCACGCCACGTACCCAACGGCTACCGCTCGTCCTCACCTTCCCCACATCGGCGGGGACCACCAGGAGCACCACCACATCCACACCACCGGCCTCCCCATGCCAGGCGGCCCCGCAAGGGCCTGCATGAACCCTATAGTGAGACGGATGAGGACGACTGGTGCTAGCGACTACACAGAGCAAGACATATTGACAGCAGAGGAGAAGAACACCCTCTTCCAGTGCTCTGGCCTTGGATCTGAAAAGTTTGATGAGGTTGGGGTGATCGAGATTTTTCGGAGGTTTTTGTTGCCCTAAGAAAAAAAAAAAACCTCTACCTCCACCCCTCAGACTCTAAACATGAGGAAGGGGTGGAGGTTAGGGGAGGAAGGTTCAGCAATTAACCTGCTGTGCATTTTGTGTCAGAGTTTAATCAGTGACCGAGCAGCACTTGGTTAAAACCGAAAAAACACAAAGTCAAGAGAACTTGCATGAGGCCAGGGCAGAGTTTGCTTATGCCTTTCTCAGTCTCAGATCCACACTCCCAAGAAATAGCTTTCACAATCAAGACCAGGCTGCAAGAGGAAGAGATGGGTGTGGGAGCAGAAAGCAATGGAGGAGCATGAGGTTCGAAAAAAGTGCTGTGATCACTGCGGTTTCTGAGGCCAAATAGCATTTTGCCTCAACTGATTGCATAGTTTTGTCAGATATGTGCTGTCTATCTCTGACTAGACTACTTCTGTACAATGAAAATAAGCTGGATCGAGGAATCCACAACTTTGACTCTGTTCTGAGACAGTTATGTTTAATGAAAAATGAATAAATAAAAAGCCAGGACCCCCTAACCCTTACATACCAAGCTATGCCTCCAGAAAATCAAACTTGAACAATGAAGAACACAGTTAAACTTTACATGATAAACAATGGCAAGAAGAAAAGGGAGAACATCCACTTGATCTTTAATCTTTTTCCTTTCCAAGAGACAGAACCAGGATGCTCCGCCTATACTGCAAAAACCAGCCAATCACAGCGCTGGCTGATATTTGATGAGTTTTATCATCTCTGTTTACTGTTATGTACTCACTCAATACTGATGGAACTGTTGTGACATCACTTCCTGTCCAGATGATGGTGGCAATACACAAGGGTGAGGCCCAAAAAGGGCTCACATCCACTGTGAGTGCACAGGTGGGATTGGCTCAGGTAACTAGAGAAGTGAGTCAAAGACTTTGTGAAGCCTGTTCTTCCTCTGTTACTTGACCCAGTGCACGAAGGAGGGTGGCCTGACAGGAAATGACATCACACAGTTGAATGGGGCGGAGGAGAGGAAAGGAGGGATGGGCAAAAGACTATTTCTTCAGTATTTCTTCTATCAATTACTTCTATTTCTTGTTATTGTTCGAACATTGGAGCTTGGTTCTTCTGTTGCATACGCTCAGCCTCCTTTGACCTTTTTCGGAATCCAAAATTTGATGGAAAACCTGCATGATTGATAAAATACATATTAGAGAGGAAATCTAAGTGGTGTGGGTGGGACCTTGGGGCTTTCTAAGAAACTTTACATTTAGGTTTATAAAAAGACGTTTTCTTCTTTCAGAATCTCTCTCTCTGTTTCTCTCACACACATACATGTCAAAAGTAATTGTTTGGGGTTCCTTTTTACCTGAAAAGGATTGTGGTTGTTTTTTGGTCTCAGTCTTTTAAAGACTCAGTCTCTATGACTTGTCATGAGACATTAAAATGTCCCGTTGTGTGAGAAACAAGAGTGAGAAAGAATGGAGAGAAGCAAACCTCTACCACACTTGATTTGTTATTTTTAATGATGACAGTGAAAAGCATCACAATTTTAAAAGTCAGTGCAAAATTATGGTGGCAATGATGATACTGGTGATGACTGGCTGATTTATAGAAAACTGTTAATGTAGAGTTGTCATGTTATTTGGAGTTCAAATATGCTGTGTCCATCTTGTTTGCATCCTTTACATTTATTACCCCTGTTCAATGACGTTTACTTGGTTCTCGATGCCTTCTTGCAACATTTAAGGGCAGTTATGGCTTGGGAACATTCACTTAGCATTGCGTGTTGTAACGCAACTCTTAAGATACACTCTCTCTCCAGAATGGTGGAGGTGGAGGTCAGGGGAGTCTCAGTATCTGACCTGCAATGGTCCTTGGGGTGAGTCCTCTTGTCAAGCCAACCCAAAGATCAGTAACTCGTTCTTAGATTAAGGGGTAGAATATTTTATTTAACTGGGGTTGTGAAAGCTGACTTTGCAGAAGTTCTATCAAGGCTGACATTCTCCCACTTGCTGCCAAAAAAAAACAAAAACGAATACACAATTAATCAAAAGCTTTTCCCTCCGTTAGGCTCTGTAGTTTTGCAGTGAGATCACTTCCCAGCAATGTCAGCACAGCATTGGTGATACAGGGTTCGTGTCAGTCAGTGTTATGCAGTGTTGTTTTTGCCACTAGGGGGAAGTTATCAGCACACATGGTTCCCCTGCCTTCCCCTCCACAGGACAACCTCTTGGTCATATCCTAATGTTTAATCCAGCAGTGTTGCTCCACTCACATTCTTCACAAGATATACGAGCTCCTCTCCTTATCAGGAGACATGGTTGTGGCCAGGGAGATCCTATCTATCCATATGCCAGTACACTCTTCTGTCTGCCTGTCTGTGCCAATGCTGACCAGCCTTTCTGACCCCTCAACCCCTTCACTCAGGTCCCTCAGCTCCCTCTCGCAGATCCCCGTCCACTCATGTGAGGTTGTAGCAAAGCTGAATCCTTCTCTGACAAAACCCACCTCAGTATGTATTGAACTCTCTTTCCTCATCTATATTTTTTCTAATAATTTGCTTTCATATATATACTCTTTCGGCTCGTAAGTGAATGTCACTGAAGATGCTCGGAACACTTTACAAATAGAAACACTTAGGACTAATAATTTCCTCTTTATTGTTATGACAGACAATAATTATTAATTATTCAATAACTAGGACGAACTGACAAAATATATATAGTTTTTTGCCTATGGATAATTATAGATACGATACCGTAGATGTAGTTAGATATTTATGAAAAAATAAGAGTATAGTTAGAGTTTCAGATATTTATTTATTTCACTCAGATCATGTGCTTCACACAATTAAGAATCAAGCTTTTCTTGAAACCTCACATTGTTTTCTTTGCAGTTGCAAAAGCCAGAAAAGTAACCCCAATCCACATGTTTTGTCTATGCAGACTCATGAGCATCCTCCATGATTTAATTTCAGTGGAGTAACTGCACTGCTGTGGTACTGTAAAACAAATTCACAAAGCAAGGATCTGAGATAATGTGAGTCACGCTGCTTTTGCACATCCTGTGACATCACACCCATCATGACTTAGCTTCCTTTCCTAAACGCCTGTCGCTGTCTTTTTCCCTCCCTCCAGGGGATTTTCTGTCTACAAAGTTATCTGCTCTTTTGAGACGTATTTCCACCGGGCCATGTTGTTAAGCATTGCAGAGGGAAAATGGGGATGAGATTTTGGAGGGGGTTGTTGATTATAAATCTGGCAGAAGTGGAGGGGTGAACATCAGAAACCTCTCTGTCCTCACCTTCCATCAAAAGATGTTGCAGCAGATGAGGATTCTTCTCCAAGCCCCCTACAGAGCCACAGTGCCTTCTGTATCCGAATCATATTAGTCACCCCCTAATATCCTCATGCATAGTCGCTCTCCTCTATCCCCTCCATCCCCTTTTACCCTCTGTTGTAGTTGAGATCAACCACACTACGCCTTAAAAATCAAATCCCACCGACTCCAATGCTAGCCTAGGAAAAGGAAGAGTGGGTTATTGAGACTGGGCCACGGTCAGGAAACAGTCAAGAGGCTAGGCTTCATGCAGGGAAACTAATATCACTTCAGTAATGGGCTAGACTATTTAAATCTCCCATTCAAATACTGATTTTTGTAAAAGTTGCCAAAAATCAAATGAGATCCTAACAGGTTGAATCAGAGCCTTGTAGTTTTGACATTTAAGATCAATGGCCATAATTTACAGATCCTGCTAGCCGGCTAGCCCTTTTGGCTTTGGCATGGCACCATTTTGTGTCCATCCCAGAAATGTCCTGGGTCCAGTTTCAGGCGGTGTAGTGAGAGGTTTACAGAGGTTCAAAGCTGTTTGCTTTATTCTCAGGTCCCTCTAGAGTTAGGTAGCTAGTTAGCAAACACTGGGAAAAGACAGCTACAAAACAAGCAGGTCTAAGATTGAGTTAATGTATGGTTTTAGCTGGCATGGCATCAGATGTAATGTTGACCCCACCTCTCCTCTCTCACCTACACACATTACACACTGATCCTTCACCCTCCCATCAGCAGCCTGCCAAGCACACCAACACTCAGCACCAACGTGTTGACAGACTTGCAGAAAAAAAGAAACAACTTCCATTTTGGCTCCACATCCTCCACTCGTTTGTCCAGAATTGTAACAGCGGATCCAAAATGGCCGACACACAACACTGCCCTCGTGTGAACGCATGTTGTGTGTTCGCTTTTCCCCCAAAAAGTAACGTTCTTTTTTTTCTTTTTTTTAAAGTGAGACACTGATCTCTTTTTTATTTTGTAGTATCCCCTTCTTCTGTTGAGCTTAGTTTGAGGGATTTGCAAGGTTTTTTGCACTGTCATCACCTCTCAGCATCTGCTTTCTGGCTTCTGCCACCCTTTGGTCTGAAAGTCTGACTAATCATTTGTTCCTTTCCTCTTCCCTCTCGGATGAAGGAAAAACAAACAAACAAAGCACCCATCTGCTCAGTCGGCTGTGAAATTGTGTCAGCGGGACAGTTATGAGGCAATGTGTGGACAAATACACAAAAAAGGGCTCTCTTTAAAAAAAATAGATAAATACACAGTGGGTATTGATGTACAGTAGTGCTGCCAAAAGTTGTGCTTATGTAGCTGAAGCCACGCCGTGGTCTCCCCTTTGTACAGCACTATATGTGTGCATGCATGCGTGTGTGTGTGTGTGTGTAGGGGGTAATGAGCAAAGGGTTGGGGGGTCGCGAGACTGATTTTTAAAGATGAGGGGATACTGCTTGGGGTAGAGGGTGGGAGGTTTGTGGGGGCAGCAAAAAAGAGGTTTAAGTGGTGTTAATACACAATTTCACAAAGGCACTGGACCACTTTTCACCTTCAACCCATTCGCATTTCGTCATAATGTGGAGGTGGGGGGGCTCCGCTGCGTCATGGAGACATTTTACTTTGTGTGCATGCGTGTTGGTTTTTTAAGACAGCGTGTGAGAGTGCGTTTGTGTAGTTGGTGACGTGTACATTTTCAGAGCTGAAACTCATTCGTCAATTAGTGTTAAGAAAAGGGTACCAAAAATCTTTTTAAATGTATATGTATTGTTTTAGCATTGTGTGGTTAAATAGAAAACATAAGATATTACTTTATATCTTTATAAAAAAAAACATATTTTCTTTCCCAGACAATAAGATGGAAAGGGAAATTATTGAAACAAATGTATTACAGATATATTACAGTAAGTATTACATATTCTTGGAGACTAATTAATTCAGCCTGAATAAACCATCAAAAATACCAAGTTTGGATATAATTCACACCAGATAAGCAGATTATTTGATCTGTCACTGGTTTCTTTTCCTAACGAGTAATTAGACTAATTGTTTCAGGGCTAAATGTATGTTCAAGTGTGTGCACGGGTGAGCAATTTTTTTTCATAGTCGTGTGTGTACATGTGTGTCCTTACACCATCAGCTACAGTAGGTAACCTTCAGTGCCTTACACTGTGCAGGACATGAAGATTTATCCATCTCTGATAATCACAGCACACACATCAGATGTCCTCATCTCCCTCCCTCCTTCAGTCCTCACTCTTACTCATTCCCAGCCAGGATGGATAAGGACGGGGGGGTGTGGGGTGTGCGAGTATGTGTGAAAGACTGTGTATGCGTGGAAAGGGTGTTGATTAAAAATCATGTCATTTGTTTTACCCATCTCCGCACCATGTCCCAGGCCATTTTCTATATCATTTGGCTCTGTAATTCTTGTGTATACATATTCCATAAAGTTTATGAAAAACTCATTGTGTTCATCCTTATTGTTTTTGCTGTCATCTCGCTGTGACTCTTTCTTCTGTATCATCCCAGCAGCTCATCCAGGCTTTGCAGATGCATTGTAATATCATTTGTGAACACATGGTTGCAGGATTGAGCTTTCATCATCGTTGATAGAAAACACTGAGGGAGTTCACTCCTCACAATGTGTGTGTGTTTGTTTGTCTGTCTGCTGCATGACTGTTTGTTTGTGTTATTTCTTTTTGGAGCTTAGCACGTTTAAAGGTTAACAATGATGGCAAAGGAATCCATTGTTAACTCAGTGGATTGTTTTTTTCACTTTAGGTAATTGACATTATTTGATTTGCAATACAGGGGGATTTTTTTTCAGAATGATAAAAGATTGATGGATTCCTGGTCCATGAATTTGAGGTAAACAGTATCAGATGGAGATATATGTAGCAGACAAGGCTTAATATTCACATTAACGTACAATCACATTTGTTCTGTCATTCAGTTTTAGATTAGCTCACTTAATCATTCATTTTCACCACTTTAGGACAAATGTGAGAATGAATTTGACCCATAAAACTTGTTTAGCTCCATATTTTTGTTAATAAATTGATGGTTTCGAGACGGGTAAAGTGTCTCCTTAAGTCGCCTTTACATGCCCAGAACCCCCTCTGTTTTCATGTATTTGTCATGTTCTTTGTCTTTTCTTTTCAGTCTTCTCCATATATTTCCATCAATTCAGTGGAGACTTGTTGCTTCTTAGGGATTTATCCTCAGCTTTGACTCCCAAAGTCAGTGTTCAGGATGCTGCTGTGTTCAGGCTAATGTATCTCAAATAATCTGATGATGCCATATTATTTGGAGACCAGCAAATATAAGTAGGTTGTCCTTCTATGCTCTGTTTTTATAATCTTTATGCTATTATTTTTCAGAAATTTGTAGTGTAATATTTTTTATTTTGTTTTTCTAACCCTAAATTGTGAACAGTTTGGAACAATTTACACCTAAAGTTTATTGTTTGTTCGATGGCTCTGGCCAAAATTGTACCAATTACATAACAATAGGTTCAAAGAGAAGTTTTCAAAATAAATAAAAACAACACTTCTAACGTTTCATCTATAGTTAGAAATATATATAAAATGATAAATATCATTTCAATGGTTCAAGATACCAGCAGAGCAAATTTTTTGGTGTCAAGATTGTACTGAGGAAACTCTAGGAGGCAACTACCAACCATCCATTTCATTAAAAGGCTCGCCATCTACTGCTCGACTCCACAGAAATCAAACCAGTGCCACAGTAGAAAACCATACAGGATTCACTCAGAAAGTTGGGGGAAAAAAGAGAAAAATATGATAATTTAAGATAAAAGAGAAGTATTTAATTACAGATTTGCATGTGCAATGTGCATGCCACTATGTGGGGTAACAAGTCAACTTCAGGAAATAAAAGTATTAAATATAAAGTATATATATATATATGTATATATATATATATGTATGTATATATATGTATATATATATATATATGTATATATATATATGTAAAAATATATATATGAATAGATGTTTTTAAGAGCAATGTGTTTCTTTTTTCTTCTATTTTTAAAAACAAAAATGTAAAAAACCTGACTTAAAAAAAGACAAAAAATCAAAAAAGTATATCACCCTGACAAAAAATGGAAATGACTTTGGTGATGAAATCAAAGAATGTTTGTTATATTTGCCAGTTCCTTCACAGGGGAAAACAGGGGGCAACGAGGATAGATAACACTTAAACTAACATTATGAAAGAAAATAATTGAAAAAAAGATTTTGAAGAGGGAGGCAATGCAAACATAACTTTTCCTTAATGAAAAACAAATCCTTTGAGAGTAAAGAGCTGCCTGAACCTGAATCTGGTGATGTTATTCCCATTTATTCTGGCTATGAATTCCCTTCTTTCTCTCTCCGTCTCTTTTTCTCTCTTACCCTGACCATCTCTTTCTCTTCCTCTGTTTATTTATCTCTGCTGTTTCTAAAAGTGCATTTTGTAATTTCAAACAGAATTCTTCCTAAAGAACCTGAATAAACCAGAGAGAATGCATTCTACCTATCCCTCTGTCTGCTTTATTGTTCTTCTACAGAGATACACATCCACGTTATACATAATGCCATGACATTTTCATGCCTGCATCACACTGGCAGTACATAGTAATGTGTAGAAATCTATCACATCGTGGAGTGAAATAGGTAAGGATGTATGGAATGTTTTAAAAGTATAGCTATTACAATTAAATGATGAGCAAGAGTATCAAAGGTAAAAGACACATTTAACTCACTAAGGGCTATAGGTTTCGAATCCGTAATGACAGTATGAAATTTGTTCCTTTGTAGCTTTCACTGAAAGAAACTATGAGATTCTGAGAATCATATTTTCATCTTCTAGAAGCCCAGAGGAGTATATAAACTGAACATATAAATATACAAAGCTTGTATTGACTATCATCCTTCAGAGGGGAGAAAGAAAGTGTCAGTTACATAAATTACTTTCAATTTTTGACAACTTTTTGGCATACTGAACAATGACAACGGTATGTTTTCTGCTACGCTTCACTGAATGATTAATGCAACCAAGCAAATGTTCAAAGGAGCAGCAAGAGTATAGACAGGCATCCTGTCTCAATGGTGTGATTAAAGGCATGCCTTTAATTTGTTCAGTTGTAAATTGCAAGTTATAGGATTCACTTGAGCTGTTATCTGATTAATTCTTCCATTCAGTAAAATGATTCAAGCAGAGGGCTTGTAAACACTGCTGTGTTTTCTAATTCCAATTGAAATCCTTTTCTCCACTTGGATTTGGTATGGAATGCTACAATTAGGTATGTGCTAAGTCAAAAGTTTTACAGATTATGATACTTGGGGAAACAAAACTAATCAGCTAGTCATATATTCTAACCTTGTGTTAGTTCTTTTGAATATTTGAATGGTTTTCAATAATCAAACATTTTTTAAGTGTCACTTTTTTTTTTCTAATTCAGAAATATTCATTTCGAACCCCCTTCTTCAGTCTTCGTCCCTCCTCCTTTCTCTCCCCCTGTTGTCTACGTTGTGCGCTGCGTCACTGCGATCGATGTGGAGGACACACAAACCTGCTCTCTCATGTGTAGCCTTCTCTCATGTCCTACACGCCCCCTCCCTCTGTTGTCTCATCATCACGTTGACATCTAACTCCTTTCTATTTTCCCCCTCCGTCTCTTCGAACGCCCGCCACTGTTTGTGCATTCATTCTGCTCACATCTGTCCATCTTCCTCCTCCTGTCTGTGACTATGTGTCCACTCATCGGTCTGTCTCTTCCCCACCTCCTCAAACCCACTGCACCCACACTCAGAGCATAAAAAACACAAGAAGAATTATTTCCATTCAGTTTAAGTGAAGGGATATAAATCTCTCTGAACTTGAGGTCACTAAAAGCTTCTCTTGCCATTAGTGTAGCCACTGCACCGTTCACAAACCCACAGCGGTAACACACACAGTCACACACGACCAGATGTATCAGGCACTCTGTCCTTCTGCAGGAAAGTCTTAAAATAGACTCCACCTCCATATTCTGTTGCCCTCCAGGCTCAGCGCATCATTTCCTGTCTTTGCCAGCTCTGATGATGCCAGACACACTCAGTCGAACACACACAAGCATTCTTCACTGTACATTCATAATCAACATTCCGTCTGCCGGCATGAAACATCATCACTGGGAGTGTGAAGAGATGATGAATTGATAACCTTTTGGGACGTGATCATCAATTGATCATGTTCACAGAGCATCATTTCCACCCCCTACCCTTGTAGGTACAATTCAGCAAATTATATGGAAAGATGGGTGAAATATCAAACATGTACACATCTTCATGTTTTAACATTATGCAAATATTAGTTCATCCTTAGAAATAGTATTTTAAGAAGCAGATATTCAAATTTGACGTGGCTTTAGTGTTCATTCATTTTGGGGGTTTTCCATCTTCCATAATCATCTCAAATCACGCCCTTCAAGTATTCACATATTAATGGAGTTCTATTTATGTCACATTTGTCTGCAGGTATATGATTGAATAACGCTTGTTGAATAACGGCTGTGATCATGTACAGTGCATCTGTATCTACGCACATCTGCACTCAGCTCCCACTGATTCGTCGGACCAGCGGTGAATGCATGCATGCATCCTGTGACATTTCCGGTGCCGTTCTTTTTTTAGCTCATAGCTGTCGGAGCTGTACGTCACTGCGACTGTCTGGCCTCTGCTCTCTGCATCTTAATCACGCTGCCTCTTGTACAGCTACTCTTTGCAGGATCAGTCCAGGGAATCCACCGCTGAAAAGACCTCCACAGTTTGCTCGGCTGTGACGGCACCAGTGGAATTTATCCCGCATCATACAACATAAAGAATATTATATTCCTGTTCCTTCTTTCAGAGACAAATAATACAAGATCAACGTTATAATGAGTTGATATTCAATATTTAACATGAAACGTCTCGTTCTTTTGCCCAGTACAGCTCCTCTAATGTCTGAAAACTGTTGCATCTCTAACACAAATTATTCCTCCATTAAGAAACTATTAGCTTTGGAGTGGATTGGGGATTCTGAGCACTTTTGTTTCAATTACGTCACCAATTGTGCTTGAAATTATCACTGGAGCAGCCAAAGTGGATTATTCTGATGCTGAAAATAGTTCCCAGCAAGTGCTCTGTTTATCGCTGTTTATGTACCATTTGGCAAGACATCAATGTTTAACTGTCTTATCTTCTTTATGCCTTCTCAGCTGTAGACCTCATATTTAAAGGTTTGATAAGATAGACCTCATATTTATACGTTTGACAATTTTATGGATTTATGGAAGCTCTCAGAGTGGCTCAATGAGCTATGAGCCGAGAAGCCAGGAAGTACTGGCAGACAGATCAATATGGTGCTGATTCTAATGGGTTAAAACCATGCGCTTCAGTTACACCACATATCAACAGTAGAGCGTTGTTGATATAAACTAGCATTTGCCAAATCTGCTCCAATGTCATTATCCCCGTTTAGATGTTGGGGCATTTAATCGGGTTATTAGAATTTACAAGAGCCCCAACGTCTCAAAACACAAAACAATAAAACCAGCTGATATGCTGAAATTGAAAGGTCGGTCCCCCTGCTGATGTACAAACTGAGGAATTTTAACAAAGAAGTTGTTAAGGCACAAATATTTGGCAACTCTAAATTATCCTTAGGAGTGAGTGAGTGTGGGTGTGTGTGGTTGTCTGTTTTGTTTTTACCTCTGGCCGTTCCACTCCTCTAACCCACTGACAGCCTCACGCGACCCAAATGGAATAGGCAGGTAAAGAAAATGGATGGATGGAACACTGAATATTTCCATTCGTAATGCGGAAAGGATGTGTACTATGATGAATACTTTTACTGGCCAGAATCAAATGACTTTGTCCACATGAGCCACAGCTGTAAAACTGCACAGCCGCTAAGAAAAGCTGTGCCTCAAACAGCCGTGAACGTCTTTGTTTGATTACTTGCTGGACAAATAGATTTCCTGGAAATGAGAACACATTAGAGCCTCTGTTGTTGAAGCTGAAAAGCTCCCTGAAATAAAAAAGTACAAAAAAACTGCGAATTGTATTTTCTTAAAAAGGATTATTTGCCCCTCTGGCTCCATAAAGGTTATTTTGACAAACTGCTAATTCTTTTAATTCAGTGGGAACTGGTGAATTAAGCCACGATGGGCCTGTTTTCAACATATGTGGGTAGCTATGTTTGACTGGAGCACATGAACTGTCCAAGGACATGTTGTTTTCTTATGTAGCTGTGAGGAACACTGTGTTCCTCTACTGGTGTACTCAACGGGGAAAACTTAAGCTCGGAGAGCAGCAAGGTGGAATCAATCCAGTGTTTCTGGTAAAGGTTTGAGGCTCCTTGAAAATCAACTGATTGAGAGTTTAAGCATGACGCTGAGTAATGACCAACATCAGAGACTTAACAGTGTAATCACTCTTTACCGAGGTTTGGTTATATGAAAAATGAAATGTGTATGAGTACATGTGTATGATATAGGGTCAAATCAGTGTTCTGTTACATTCCAATGAGTATACACTTAAATGATTTGTTATATTGGTCCGCGAGCCAATCATGACACTTTATTTACTAGTTTTCCATGTTGCTATATCCCTTTACACTCTGAAATCAAATGGAGCCAAACAAAAACTGCTGCTTTGAAGAAGGATTTATGGATGAATTTAAAAGAAACAGATAGCATTTATCGTCTCCCATATGGTTTGACCCAGATATTCTGGATGTTTACTTTAATTTTAATATATATATATATGTTAAGCCAGCACACAGTTGGCAGAATCAAGGTCACAATAATAAGGCTCTGATCTGGGGCTTTATGTGGCCATTCCTGCTGTGTGGATATTTACTGATATTAACAATCACACAGTATTAATCCAGCTTCTGTGCTTTGACTCATGAAAACAACACCCATACATGTAATGTTTGGATCTCAGTGGTTTCCATCACAGTCCAAATCTCTTACAGACCGCTTTGAAGGATTTTTCCACTTCAACATGTGAAGAAACATTCAAACAAGTGAATGAAATAAAAAAATCCCACATGATGCTCAGTTGTCTTTTGTCAGTTTAAAGCCTCCATTAAGGTACGAGTGAGTAGCAGATCTGCTTTATTTGAGCAACAATGATGCAAATCCATTTAAATTGTCAACTGAACAACCACAGGTTTTGTCAGTTAGTCAATTGTTTAAAAATGTTTAAAATATGGTTGAAGCCGAAGATGTTTTGTGCCACATGCCACCAAATCATACCAACAAGATATGAGACATTTTGTCCAAACTGATGGCTTAAATGTGCGGCTTTTCAGATGTATATTTTTCTGTGTAATAAAAAAAAAAATATTATTTTAGAGAAAGTCTTTCAATCACCCTATTTTGTTTCATGCCTTTCAAAATCTTTATGTTTTTCTTCCTGATTTACTGTCATGTTTTCTGTTCATTAAAGAAAAGGGAGAGTGGGGATTGATGTGATAGGTAACCAATGCAAACACAACATTCATAACAACCTGACTAACACAATCACCTGTGAGTTTGAGGGTTCAGTGATATTCCAAAAGGTTTTCATGATGACAAAGAAGCCTGCAGGCCACAAACACCCCCCCCCCCCCCCTCGCCCTGCTCTCTTCCTTACGCAGCGATTAGAGGTTGGCCTGGGTTACTGCTGTGAGGTTGCATAACTTTTTTTTATTATCCCCTGTATGAATCGGTGTCAGGTCATATTGGGAGTGGGATGTGATTCAGAATTGGTGTCGTAATCCACAGGAAATGGTACGACGGGGGAAGCTGTGTGTGCGTCTTATTGTGAGCGGGAGATTAGCGGCAGCAGGCCAGACTGGTGCTGGCCTGTACCAGCCTCCTCCCTCTTAACAGGGATTGACCCTGTGAGCTGGAGCCTAATGTAAACCCCCTAGCCCTTTAATTTGTAAATAAATTGTGCGTGCGTGTCTGGAGTGGAGGTATTCCAGTGTGGCTGTCATTTTCAGGAGATTTAAACATTTCTAAAAAAGAAACTCTGCGATGGTTCAGAAGAAAAGAGGTTGGGACAAAGTATTACTCGCTCAACAGGTTTATTACAGATGATTACAACATGTTTTCAATTACATGAACCGAAAGCAGCTTGGAATGTGAGGTAATGTTTTTTTCACAGGTCAGGCATGAACGAGATGAGTTCAGCGACATTAAAAACACGAACACATACAAAGTTTAGACGAACAGGCTTACAGCCCCATGTAGAGGAGCTTGCTTTTCTAAAACGCTCTGTGTGAACTCAGTATGTAGGACAGTCCCAGAGCAGTAGTATCGATTTATCAAAGTCCACAGCAGCAATCGAATGTGTGTGTAAAAATTGTCCGTGGCAGTATCTGCCTCAACTGTCCTTCCTCTTTCAGTCTTTTGAGTCAAAGTTCTGGGTATGAAGACAGGAAATACCCCGAAGTTCTCTGTTTCGTGTGTGTGTGCTGTCATGTGGTCGACTGTTTACCACTTCACTGCTTCTCTGATTGACTCTGTGCTGATTCACACATCCACACACTTTGACTCAGCAGCAGTCACTCGTTTGGACTCACTGAACTGAGGGGTGAGTCATCGGGAAACAACACAACCAGTTCCCCCTTCTGTTTCTTCCTCAAACTTTCCAGAACCGTAGCTCAGTTTGACTCTTTCCTTCTCCTTTCTGCGTGTGCTCTTTCTCGGCTGGGGCTTTACCAGCCCGGGCAGGCACACCGAGTTTGACCGGGCAACTTGACCCGTGGCACCTGTAATCCCTTTGTCTCGGCACTGCTGATGTAGGTCAGCTCCTTGGTGCGCAAAGGGATCAAACTGTCCTTAAAGACAGACAGGGAGTAGATAATCACTCCATTTAAAAGTCTCACTGGAGGCTCTTTTTCCCCCCTCCGTCTGTTCAGAAGGCAGGTATAACCTGATTCAGAGACAACGTGGACAGGGTCTCCCCAACCCCGCTTCGGCAGCTACTCAGAGGGGCTGCATACCTCTCCTCGCCCGGTTCCAGCCTCGCCCTCTTACTGGGAAGGAAGTCGGGCGCAGCCGACGCCTTGCCCCGGCGTTTCCTGGACTGCTTCGCCGGGCTCAAGTTCTCTTTGTCCTCAGTGATTTCACAATCATGCTCGTCCTCCTGATTGTCCGGCTCCAGGGGAGCCGTGTCCACCGCGTTCACGGCTGTGTGCTGCTCGGGCTGACTTTCTGGCACCAGGGTTTGTTCCCCGGAACTGGTGTCCATGGGCTCCTCCGTAGCGCACTGCGTTGAGTCTGGCCCGCCGTTCTCCCGGGAAGAATGGTAGATATCCCGGGCGGACCTCATCACCAGGGAGAGCAGGAGGCTCCGGTGGAGTCTCAGCCCCCCTCGTTGGGTCCTGGAGGCATACAGCTTGCTTATCGATACGGCCAAGATACGTCTTGCTTCCAAGTTTACTTCCATTGCGGTTGAAGCACTCATTTTTTTTCTCGTATGCGTTTTTACGCACGGTTATTTTTGGCACTGATCACAGAGGCGACAGGTCTTCCTGTTCTATGAATTAGGCTACTTCTCCGTCTTGTTTCTGATGTAAATCCGAAGTCGGAGCTGACTTCGGCTGCTCACCAGCTGTTGTGCTCGGAGAAATGAGAGCACGAGTAGTAGGGCGCCGTTTTATTTCCTCTATGACGTAAAGTGAACTTCATTCCTCTGTAAGTGACAAGCAGGCGCCGCCCACACCTGCTATTACCGCTCCGCACACACACTCACACACACGCACACGCACACACTCACACACCATCTGTTTCGTTTGCCCTTTTCCCTTAGAAATAATCTCTTTTTTTCTTATTTAGATTAATTCTTGTTTATATTAATTTAGCCAACGCGACTTTATGGTGCTTTGTCTACCCTTTCTTTCGTCTTATCACCCACTTCCTCCAATATGCAAATAACTCGGTTCTGTTTTCTCATGAAAATCTTCTTTACGCTTGAATTGCTATCAGCGGTTATCCAACCTGATATATCTTGACATACGAAGTTTATGTCAATAATAAAAAAAAATATTGTAAAAATAGTCTAACTGAGTTATAACACATTCAATATTTTAGATAATCTCTACACTAATAAACGTGCAACACGTATATGTACCTTATAATATTTAAGTAATATATTCACTGCATAAGAAAACAATAGCATATTTACTATATGGACTATATACCATATTTTTAATATGAAAAACTCTTTTCACTGAATTAAAATAAATTTAAACAATTCAAAACAGAAGCCACCTAAAAATCGTGATATTATGTCAGTCACTGTTTACATTCTTGAAACAAGTCATCCAACAGTTCGAAAAATTCACGTAGGAGAGAAGTGTAGTTTCTCGGTACTTTGTGCACTACGTCACTCAATCACACACATACAAACACAGAGCCACACACACACATACACAACCCCTCCATATATGGACCATCCGGTAGTAAAACAGCCCCTGGGGGACGCACTGAGTGGAAAAGCCATGACGCGGACGCGCAACCACAGCCCCTCCTCCTCGCGCTCTGTTCGCCTGGAACTGGGCATACCAGCGATGGCGTCACCTGCGCTCCATATTTGGTGCAGTCACCGGTGTAAATAAGGTTACCAGGCAGCGGAACGACTGAGGTCAAACTGCAGGAGCCTGCAACGCTGCTTTCAATGGAAATAAACCTTTGAGAGATATTAACACGGCAAAGACAGGTAGTTTTTTTTTTGTCCGTTCCTAAAGCGCAAAACTGTGCATTTGTGCACATCATATGTTAAGGTGAAATAAAATACATACATACATACATACATACATAAATACATACATACATACATACATACATACATACATACATACATACATA